TAAATACACCTTTTAAAAATACATGTATGCAAACCGACACACCTGATGACGACCGTTTGTGTTATGGTCGAAACGTCGTGAGAATTTTTATTGTTTTATATATATTTTATTATTTTATTGTTTCCCTTCAACGTGACTTTACCGAAGGAACTAAGAATACTCATCTGTAGTCAAGAGACACGCATGCCGTGGGTTCATTGTAACGCTGTCTGGATCCGATGCTGACCAAACCCAAGTAAAGTTATACAGGGTGGTCCAGACATCCCGTGACCGGCATTTAATTTTCTTTTTTTAAGTAATGTTTATTTTAAATATGCATCAATATGCAAAGGGGAAAAAGGTGTTCCGAGTCAATATTAATTTGGGGGGGGGGGGGGGGGTGCAAGACATTTGAACCACCCTGTATAATAAAGTACAGTATAGTACTGTGGTGAATTATTGCTGCGAAAATTCTTGCACTTCCAGAGTGCCGTGGGGCGGCTGATGGGTTGTGTAAGAAATGCCTCTTTATTGGTTTATATGGAGAGATAACAATAGAGGCGCTATTGTCTTATCGATTTCAACTGGCACGGGCGTATATCAATGAGGTTATTACATTTATCGGGGCAAAATTACGATTTTCACCAATACTACATTGAGGCATAGGATCAGCGTTCTCCAAACCGAATATTGTGCCGTATATATATTAAAAAAACATGGGTTTTTAGTCCATCAGCCTTTCCAGACCAATATTATTAACAAGCCGCATTTGTTCAGGAAACAAATACTCTGTGGACCGGTTTTGGCCACCTGGGTCTCAGCAGCAGAGTCGGATTTTGTTAAACAATAACGCGTGTGCATTAACACATGTTATTGAAAAGTATATTATGACTTTTTAATCAGGAGCTAAATGCCAATTTGGAAGTAGAGATGGGCACGACGAGTGAATGTTTGTGTAAGTTTAAAAAAAAAACAACTCTTCAAACATTGACGGAGCGCAGTGGTTTATTAAAATGATCCATAGCTTGCGTTGCATTGGCACACTCGTACTGCCGTGGATTATTTAATGTTATCCCTACGAAGGAGCAATGTATATCTTGTGAGAGTCTCTGTGTATATTCTATGGGTTTCACTGTAAGGGAAATAGTGGGTTTCATGGCCACAATCGCAACGACCGTGGCTTATCTTTAGTACTGTACTTTGAAAAGTATGCCCCGTTGAATGCAAACCACACCGCCAAATGTTACTTGTTAATAATAACAACGATACATAGGCTGAATTAACAAAACAAAAACACACTTTTAAAATGTTCTATATATGGTATCGAGAGGCGGAATTGGAGTTAAGCTTACAGTAGTATTTACTTTCTACCCGTGATGCTCAACGGAAACGCGGTGCATCATCACCATCATCATCACCACCATCATCATCACCACCATCATCATCATCACCACCATCATCATCATCACCACCATCATCATCATCACCACCATCACCACCACCATCATCATCATCACCACCACCATCATCACCACCACCATCATCACCACCACCATCATCATCACCATCATCATCATCACCACCATCATCACCACCACCATCATCATCATCACCATCATCACCATCATCATCACCACCATCATCATCACCACCACCATCATCACCACCATCATCACCACCACCATCATCACCACCACCATCACCACCACCATCATCACCATCATCATCACCACCATCATCATCACCACCATCACCACCACCATCATCATCATCACCACCACCATCATCATCATCACCACCACCATCATCACCACCATCATCACCACCACCATCATCACCATCATCATCATCACCACCATCATCACCACCACCACCATCATCATCATCATCACCATCATCATCACCATCATCATCACCACCATCATCATCACCACCACCATCATCACCACCACCATCATCACCACCACCATCACCACCACCATCATCATCACCACCATCATCACCACCACCATCACCACCACCACCATCACCACCACCACCATCACCACCATCACCACCACCACCATCACCACCACCACCATCACCACCATCATCATCACCACCACCATCATCACCACCACGACCACGACTCGTCGTTCCACCAGACACTGTTGTTGTTGTCGTCTCGTCCACCCCTGTGTTCACCCACCGGCAACGCTCACCTCCCACTATTCTAGCAGTACTTAGCAAGCATTGTTGGCGGTGTTCCAGTGAACTTAACCACCACTTCTTCTTCATTCATCCTCACGCTGGTGTTCAACCATCACCCACCCCGCAGGTCACAACGCTTCCACAATGCCTTTCGTCTTCTTCCCTCGCACGGCTCCACTTGAGAATTGTCTCCCATCATCATCATCGTCTCTTTCACCTCCTCCTCCACCCCTCCATCTCCAAGCTCGTGTAACAACAGCCACAACAACAATAACAACAACAACCTTGCTCAACTGAAACGTGTTCGCGCTCATTTTTTTTTACCCGTTACGCCTGCTCTCGGGCCCGCGTCCCGCAACTCCGAACAACAAACAAAACAACAAACAACAAAAACCCACCGAGGAACTTTGCTAGAGTTGTAAGAATCTCGCTGATCACGTCGTGATCCACCAACCCCTCTTCTTACCCCTCTTCTCTCTCCTCGTGTGCGCCGGGACTTTGGACGGTCGCCGCTCGCAAAGGTCCACGACGTTCGAATTGTGAATATCGAGCAACATTTATTTTTCGTAAAGAAAACGGCATTTGCCTCGTGTTACACGCGGGTTATTTTGTTGTTGTGTTGTTGTTGACGTTGTTAGCGGTGAATAAGATATACGCGGTTAAAAGTAACTGTTGTTAAGCAGCGTTCGCGATGACGGTGCCTCGTGTTCTTCAAGGTTGACGAACTTCAATCGTATTCTTAGCTCTTTCGGTAAAGTCACGTTGAAGGGAAACAATACAATATATAACATTAACAATTCTCACGACGTTCTCACGACCATAACTCAAACGGTCGTCATCAGGTGTGAAAAACCAAAATAGAACTTCACTCGGTGGATTTCTGTTATCGTGCATTGTATTAATGCGTTCCATTGCTCGCTTCACACCGTGGCTTATTTGTTGGACCAAAGCTTAAGTAAATAACACAAAGGCTTCCCCCATCCCCCCTATCGGTTTGTAAAGCGTCAATAGGCGTAACAATGTGTGTAATTAAAACAAAATTAGATGAATCAACCTGTGGGAGCGACATTGGAAAGCCAGGCCTGGCTCGAGGCCAGGCGCTTAATCTCCCGCTCTTTTTAATACTTTATACACTCGGGGTTTAAAAAAATATATAAATATAAAACGCTTAAACCGGGCGTACTTATTCAATATTAATGTTGCTGTTTTTGTTGTTTTGTCGCTCTGAGGTATGCCACCACTCGCAATTAGCACGACAACAATCTCTGCATTAACGCAACGACGTAGCCTAAATTGCGATCACTTAATCCCCGACCCTACTCTAAAACTGCACCAAATATAGTCGTGTCAGATGTACGTAAGAGTACAATTGTTTTTTTTAATGTACACGAATGCATTATGCATGTGCCCGGTGTTCATTATTATTGCAAGCGAGATGCCGCTTCTGTGTTACTGTACACACTGCGGCGTATCCACAATGTTTTTTTTGAGTTTTATATTCGGCGTGTATACTTGTTCATTCAGTTGTCAACCCACGCGGATTAACACCGTATTCTTGTACAGGGAAATCGAGTTTTCAGGTCCATCCGGCGGTACAGCCGTTTCGATACGAGACTTCGCGGGATGAACGTTAAGATTTACAAGGGGGCACGTTGGTGACCCCAATAAGGTCTGAATTGGTCTGTAATAAGACGGGGCACTGACACGGGGTTTGACAGGTATTATTATATTCTTTGGTGTTTTTGGTACACGCGGCACGTTTAAAAAAAATGCAGCCGCGTGTATTTATAATGCGACGTTTGACTCGTTTGATCGCGGGAGGAAACTCGCAGGAGTCGGCAGATGATGGGGCCTAGACGTGACTGCGATTATACCGATTTAAACAATATTTCCTTTATCATTCACTGCGTCCTAAAATATATTCATGCCAGAACGCGAAAAAGAAAGACTTAATGACATTTTCGCCTGAGGAGTGAGCAGCTAATTACATTTTGGAAGATAAAATTAAGATAGATTTAAATTTTTTATCCATCCCATTGATTTTTTTACAGTCTTAATCGCATACGCGTTATTTATTCCAACAAATACGTGAATGTAATTGATTTTCATGCAAAGTGTTTAGCCCACATCACTTTAATCTACAGAGTTTATACACTACCCTGCAAGTACACGGTACTGTGTGTATGTAGATTTCATAGACCTGGTTCCATTTCAATTACACCACCTCAGTGTATCTTATGTCAATTTACAAACATCTACCCCCACTACATTCAGCTACGCTGGGAATGATCACATTTAATAATAATACATTCTCCTCCTGGCTACAGATAACTGATATTGGTGCCTGGGTACCCTAATGGTCTTGGCTGTGAAATGTAACCGAATGATCTTTCTACCTTACACTCAAATGACCTTGCCCATGTCCTTTACCATAATAACCCCGTTTGTGCGATTTAACAATGACCCTGCCCGTTCCCTCCAAACTAATAAGCAATGACCTTGTCTGATGACCCTTCTCGGCTGTTTACAATAATTACCCTGTCTGTACCTCTACCCTAATGACCATTTCTATGCCCTTTGACTATGGTGACTATGCAGTTTATTTTAATGATTGTCGATGGCCCCTACCCAATTTTTTACTGAATATTTTACTTGTCGCTGGTAAACTGGAGTAGGTTAAGATGTGCCGAGAAGTGACAGCCATAGAGAGAGAGAGGTATTCTGGATAAGAGGTGCTGGGTTTGGAATATTAACTTCACCCAGACAGACCTGGCTAAAATAAGTCTCACCTTTGCCCATTCTGTGCCCCCTACCTGTGTGCGTGCGTGCAGACTGACACGTGGAGACTGCTGGGGAGGGGGCTCTGGTTTGTGTTGATTCATTTTTTTGAGGGGGTGCGCGCCGCGCTTACTGATCGGGCAGCATGGGGGGCGCTGCGCCTATGGATGACGAGCCCCAGCTGGTTCCACCGCCAGACGGCGGCTGGGGATGGGTGGTGCTGTTCGGCTGCTTCGTCATCACGGGCTTCTCGTACGCCTTCCCCAAGGCCATCAGCGTCTTCTTCAAGGAGCTGATCAACGAGTTTGACGTGGGCTACAGCGACACGGCATGGCTGTCCTCCATCCTGCTCGCCATGCTCTACGGCTCAGGTGAGGCCGCTAGGTGCTCCCGCAGCTGGAGTTACCATAATGAGTGAAGCATTTTGATATAAGTTGAAATATAGTATAATTCTGGGAGACTCAATCAGGACACATCGTGAGCTGGCAGCCCCTCCTTGCTGACCCACCCATGCTGGACATCTGTGAAAAAAGAGCTTCATAGCTCATCGGATTCCTCCGGTCTCACAAACAGATTCTGATTCCGTCAACCCCACCTACTTTTACTTTGCTAACTCGATAACGAGACTTGCCCACAAGGCAAGTGATCTCGCCCTTTGACGCTGGCCCACTCTCTTGACAATAGACCCTGCTTACTTTGCCAACCATGCACCATTGCTCAGTTAGCCCCATCCTTTGCCCATATATGTTGGTGATGCAGCCAGAATATTTTTACCAGGAAGGACAGCATCTTGATTTCGTAATAGCTTAGGGACACCAGGACGGCTTTTAAAGTGATCATTTTTTGGTGGTACCTGGACATATGTGTCAGGGGTTGGGAAGTTTTTCCTTATTGAGGGCCAAATATAACTCTCAAATACCTCTTGTGGGCCACATTAACAGTCTCCTTGGGTTTGTTCAATAATAGCTTGAAACATTATTATGGTTCACCTTTATTCGTGGCTGAATGTGTTAAATCAGCGATAGGTTCCCCACCCTTGGTACATGTGGATGAGAAGGAAATGCAGGTGTTATCCTTATGGGTGTACTTATGCATAAATTAATTAAGCTCATGATACATGCATCAAATCAAGTTGGCAAGAATCAATGATTTCTCGATTCGTATATGGTGTAAATAATGGGTTAATGTGACCCCTACATCCACTGCAGGCTGCTACATTAATCAGTGTCGATAATAATTATAGTATCGAATCACGACTGAATCACGACAATTGAATTTGCGGAGCGGGTGATTTCTGCAACATGTAGTTTACATATTTTTTTTGCTTTGCTGCGTATGGGTGGGAAGGTTGGGAAATGGACATAAATTATAAGAAAGTTGAGTTGTCTGTGTTCAGGCGTTACCAAAGACTACTTTGGGTGTCTTATAAAGGCAAAATAACAAATGAATGGATGTTGGAAAAGATCAGGTGTAAAGGAAAACTCGTGAAAGACTGCAATGAGACACGTTTTTAGCATTCACAGACACACACGTTGCTTATGAGTCTTGGTGAAAGTGAAACCTATCCAAGGTGTCTGCTGCTGGTGCAGTCATACTTCTCAGCACCTTCGGTGCAGCTTGAGCCACGTTGGCAGGCAACGAGGAAGGGCCTGATTTAATAATCCTGAACGATCCGTTTAACGCACTCACAGATTCTCCCTCGCCCAATGTTTTCATCACCAGTTGACACACCGTCTCGGCTGCAGGAGGGGCAGGAGATTTGAGATGTGTTGTTTGATAAATTACCAGTCCTGTGCTGCCTCAGGACAGCTGTCACTGTAGCTGGAGAACCCCACCCCCCTCCACTCTCTTGTGTGGGTGCTGCACTCTGTTTAGCAAAACACTAATCGGGGGATATTGCCATAACGCAACGCTGGTTCCACACACTCTGAGGGTCTTATTTGTTTCATCCCCAACTGTACTGTGATGGGCCGTGATGTCACTGATTTGAGATTGGCCATGATGGCCCTGTGTTGTGATGGGGTTGTATGTGATGGCTAGTGATGGGGTTGAATGTGATGGGTGGTGATGGGGTTGTATGTGATGGGTGGTGATGGGGTTGTGGTGTAATAGGGCCATGTGGTGATGGGCAGGGGTGTAGCGACGCGATGCATCGGTTAATAGTGGTTCTGCTGCTCACAATACATGTATCGAATTGCATGTGTAAGATTCAGTGTACCGTAATTCGAGTCATATACTGTATGTTGCACGTACTGTAATGCGTTTACGCCTCCAGCCATTATAGGCTGCGACATTCACCGCAGTGTAAAATAAATATAACAACCTGAATTAAACTTTGACACTGAATTGTAACAATTCATTGATTCACGGAAGACGAATTGGTACACCTGCAGTGATGGGGTATGTGGTAATAGGCTGTATTGTGATGGGATGCTGCTGCCATGAGATGAGTTGATGGTTCGATTCCTGCTACATGCGTTGCAGAGCAAGATATTGTGGCTATGAAAAGTAGTGTTGCAGTAATCCCTAACTCCAACGCAATCCTGGTCACTTGTTACCACATGTTACCATCTTGCAGCCATTAATGCATACATTGCTCCACCCCTCCATTCTCTCGACTAAATATGATTGGCAGCAGTATTGTTTTTTTGTTAAAGAGCAGTGGTGTTTTTCACTTGATCGCTTGGTAATTTCTATGGTGGTGTGAAAGCCAAAGTGCCCCTTATTTGCTGGAACAGTAAACACCTTGTGATATCATTATCCTCAAGATTAGGTCACCGTGTATTAACAATAACAATGACCTTTGTTAATCCAGGAAAGCCTCACCGGGTCTTAAGACACCTTTTCAGGATGATCTTGCATGCTAATTACTATTACTATTTGTATTTTACCAGGTAAGGCCCACTGAGCTATATAGCTCTTTGTCAGGAGCAACCTGGCCACAAATGATAGCTCAACTAAGTGGCTTATCATGTGGAAATGTATAGCAGCCAAATGCTCTAAATGCACGTTTCTAAATGTGGAGGGAAAGAGACACGCAAACTCGAAGTATACAGGCGTCAGGGTCGGGATCGAACCCATGCCCTCCTGTATACCAGGCGAGGTAGTTAACATCTCCCCACCGTGGCTCAGCCATAACCCGAAATGTAGAAATTACCAGTGGATATATTGTGAATAAATAATATACAGTAATATATTTTTATTAATACATTTACAGAACTGTCACAAAAGATACAATGAATCTCAAAGGGTTCTCACTTGGTTATACAGGGGCTAGTGAGTAGAAACACCAGGTACTGGAGGTGCCTGCTTACATGAACTCACATTTGTCTTTGTGGGAAGCGGTAATGTCAAGGTAAGTGCATTGCACTACGAACCTGGTCATTTGAGTTAAAATTCCTGCTCGCAGCCAACATCGTTTCTGAATATCTGAACCATTCCTAGGCCTCCTGTAGGTCGACTCAGCCTAAAATGAGTAGACAGTGTGGTGTGTAAATGAATCCACTGCGGAGATAAAGGCGAACGGTATGGCTATTACCACACCACCTCATGTGCCATGTTGGCCTTCATAGGCATCTGCCCCAACAGTGTATTAAGGCTATATTATTGTTCTCTCTGTGCGTGTACGTGCTTGCATGCGTGCACGTCCATCCGAGTATTCATGCGTGTACGTACAGTGTGTGCATGCATACATGTATTTGTGCGCGTGTGTAGCTCCTCCATAGTGTTCATGCATGCAATACATGTGTGGGCATGTGTGTGTGTGTGGTAGTGTATCGGTTAGCGCGCTGCGCTACAAACCTGGTGACTCGAGTTCAGTTCTCGCTCATGGTCGACACCAGTGATAATTATCTGAACTGGACCTGGGCCTCTCCTAGGTCGACTCAAATGAGTACCTGGCGTGGTGTGTAAATATTGCCACTGGAGAGACAAATACGGCCGGGCGTGGTGCTGGACACCCACCCTTATGTGTCCCGTGCCGGCCTTCATAGGCGCTTGCTAACAGCACTTGCCCCAACAGTTTGTTAAAGGCTATATGGGGGATCTTTGTCTTTTGTGCAGGTCCTCTGTGCAGCATCCTCGTGAACCGCTTTGGCTGCCGGCCCGTGATGCTGGGCGGGGGTCTGCTTGCTTCATTTGGGATGATCCTTGCCTCCTTCTGCACCAACATCATCATGCTCTATCTCACGGCGGGAGTCATCACAGGTACGTGCAGTGGAGATACTGGGCCACTTTGGAACCAGGCCGCTGGGTCACATGGCCACAAGAATATAAGACTACTGGGGCGCTAGGCCAACAGGTCATTGGGCCACAGAGCATACAGGTCTCTAGACCAGTAGGATACCAGGCCTTCAGATCACAGTATCACTGAGTCTCTGATCCACAGGGCCATTAGAAAAGGTATTAATGTTTGGGAATGACTTTACACATCTTCTATTACTTGCATTCATAAGTATATTATTGACATGAACATTTCATATTCCTTTCCCACACTCCTCCACAAGGCATGGGTCTGGCACTCAACTTTCAGCCGTCGCTCATCATGCTGGGGCGCTACTTCAACAAGCGGCGCCCGTTGGCCAACGGGTTGGCAGCAGCCGGCAGCCCCGTGTTCCTGACGACGCTGTCGCCGCTGGGACAGATGCTTGTTAAGTCGTACGGCTGGAGGGGCGGCTTCCTTATCCTGGGGGGGCTCCTGCTGAACTGCTGTGCATGCGGTGCCGTAATGCGCCCGCTTGTGCCCCCCAAGGAGGACGCCGGCAGTGGCGGAAGTGCCAATGCCGGCGAGAGCAAGCGGCGTAACGGCAGCAGGGACGCCGGCGCTGCGGAACAAGAGCTCACCGAGATGTTGCCCTCGAAGCAGAACGGCGGCTTTGTGGCCGTGCCTCTGGACGACAATGGCTCCCAGGTCGCTGAGAGCCCATCGCCAGGCACCGCCCCTCATCGGGAGACACCGGTGTCCCCCAAGAAGAAGCAGAAAAAGAATCTGCTGGACTTCAGTGTCTTCAAGAACAAGGGCTTCGTCATCTACGCGGTGGCTGCGTCCATTATGGTGATCGGGCTGTTTGTGCCGCCCGTCTTCATCGTGAGCTACGCCAAGGACATGGGCATAGAGGACACCAAAGCGGCCTTCCTCCTGTCCATCATCGGCATCATCGACATCTTTGCACGGCCGCTGTGCGGCATATTAGCTGGCGTCGAGCGTGTACGCCCATACATCACCTACCTCTTCTGCTTTGCGATGCTCTTCAATGGGTTCGCGGACCTCATGGGGTCATTCGGAAACACGTACGGCGGCCTCGCCACCTTCTGTGTCTTCTTCGGGATCTCATACGGGATGGTGGGTGCGCTGCAATTCGAGGTCCTCATGGCCATCGTGGGCTCCCACGTCTTCTCGAGCGCCATCGGCCTAGTGCTGCTGTGCGAGGCCTGCGCCGTGCTGATCGGGCCGCCCAGTGCAGGTGCCTGTCCTCCTCACTTGTCCACCCACATGCTTGCCCATATGCTCACTCATTCGCACACACGCTCGCCCACATGACTGCCTGGTTTGATGCCTCGGTGGCAGAACACTGCTTTATTTGTTTCTGCGACTACCATAAAAATGTCCAGGCCCTTACATCCATAGACCTTGCTTAAAATGTACACGTAAGAATACGTTGGGTATAATTGTGCTCTTGTCTGGTTGAGTTGCCTACAATTAGTGGGGGGGGGGGGGCTGAGTGGTTTAACATTTTTCACGTTTGCCACTGAGCCGGCTTGCCTGGAGTCTGTGATTTCATTCGTGCTAGAACTGCCCAGTTGAAGACCTTGTGACATAATTGCATGCAACAACCTTAATGGTATTTCAGATAAAATACAAATTGGGGAAAATTATTTTCAAATAAATAATAATACCCTCACTCAGTTAAATCAAGGACATTTTAATATATAGCATTACCAAGACTTGATGTGTGAATGAGCTAAAACATTGTTAATTTGTCTAAAATGACACTGCCCATAGAAACGTGCATTTGGAGTATCTGGCTGCTATACATTTCCACATGATGAACCACATCGTTAAGTTATCATTTGTGGCCAGGCTGCTTGTGAAAAATAGCTGCATAGCTCACTGGGCCTTACCTTGTGAAATAAAAATGGTAGTAAAGCAAGTTTGTTAAATTAAACGTGATCTCATGACTATGCCCTCTGACCCCTACGCCCCAGGCCGCCTGGTGGATGCCACCAAGAACTACAAGCTGACACTGTACATGGCGGGCACGCTCGTCACCATCTCCGGCATAGTCATGGGCGTTGCCAACTTCTTCTGCCTACCCAAGGTGCAAGCTTGTCCACACGCGGCTCCCCCTCTGGGGCCCGGCAAGGAAGAGGGGCAGCCGCTGACGGTGGTAACCAGCACCGAGCCAGATCCCGATGCCATGCACAATAACCGGGGTCCCACGGAGCCCGACGTGGAGGCAAACGAAGTGCATGCAGCCCCGGACAAGGCCAAGCCGCCGTCGCCCGAGGAGAAGAAAGTGGATGCTGCACCAGCATCTGCGCACATAGAGGAGGAGGCGGTGGCGGCAGCGGTGGCTTCAACCGCGGCGGCTTCAACCGCGGCGGCAACGGCGGCTGATGAAGTGGTAGCAAAGGCAGAGTCGAAAGTGGAGGCAGAGCCGAAAGTGGAGGCAGAGACGAAGCCAGAGTCGACGGGAGAGGCAGAGGCACCGTCGAGCAAGGAACCAGACCCGGCTCCAGGCACGACTCGTGCCGACGTGGAGAGAGAAAGCGAGGTCTCTCCGCAGGCAGAGGCTGCCAGCGGCAACGACGACAACAAAGCGGCCACCGAGGAACTGAAGACAAACGACCCTACGAGTGGTGGAGATTCCGCCAACGTGGAGACGGAGCAGCATGCCTGATGGACTGGCCACCACCTCACACTGCCTCCAATTGGCGGGGTGGCACGTCCAGCGTCAACTCTCGTTTTGTTTTTTAAAAAAATTTTCCCGTTGCAGGTCTTAGCATCGTGTGTTCCTGTAGGGCATTTACCGTGATTATTTGAGTTGCGTTTCTAGGCCTAGGCTTATTCACGTCTAAAACGTGAAGTATGTGCGTGCATCGCACGCGTGCCACCGTCGCGATAATCGTGATGGATAGTAGCTGTCTAATGCCGGACTTCTCAGTTGTATTTGTGACCGGAAGCAAGTGTCTTTGCTGTACAGTGCATTTCCTTTGGTTTCCATCCGCAATTTGGAATCTGTTCAATTACCTCGAGATTTAGAATTGAGGCTGCCATTGTAGATTAGGAGCAGACGCTTGATTAGCTGCTTTCATCAACGTCATCAGATTTTTTCGGTCCGATGAATCTCGTCAGTTTTATTGAAAGACTCTTGATTAATGGTCAAGTCACTGGGAATCTCTTAGCGGTGCAGCTACATGTTGTACTTGGCGCAGATGTTGCTTCCGTATTGTGCAGTGGGAAATGTTATTGCAGCGACTGCAACAACGAGTTTTGTGGCGTTGAGGCCTTGTTCCATGAGCATGCACACAAGCTCTCCGTTACCCTCGGCGTGCTGATGTTCCTCAGGCCACTCGGTGAGAACCTCTGAAAGCCTGGGTTCGAATCCAGCACCCATCCACGATTTAACAAAGTTTGCGTGCAGAAAGTTTGTTGACAATTGCCCAAAATAATATATATTTTCACTTAATTTGGCCTCGCAACATTGGATTCATTCTGAGATATTACTAAATATATCAGAGAACGAGCAGTGAATTACTCTTCATACAGCGCTGGTAGGAGAGGTTTTTGAGACTTTAAAGGAGACTGGCATTTCCGTGGTCTCACCACTGTGAAGGATTGTTTACTGGCAAAGGCAACCCTCCACCATCTGTGAGGAGTCACCACAGTTGGATTTTTCTGTAAGGAACTCCACTCTAATGGCACAACTTTAATGCAGTTCGTAACATAAAAGGATGATTTGAAAACATGTAACGTGAGGCTGCAGAGCAGCCCATTGGGTGAGTGGTGTAGCAAGGCCTCAAGAGGACTAATTTGGAGTTTTGTACAACCAAGGCGTGCGACCATCTGTGGTGAATTTACCAGTTCTCCACTTTGCTAATACTCATGCGCGTGAGGTAAACATCAGCATAAGGTGAACTGGAAAGAACAACTCCTGTTCATCGATGTTTGTAGCAATAGCAGCACCACCTTGAGACGTGGTGTTAATTTTATCGTGCATATTTTGTCGCGCTCTGAAACTAACATTGCTACTAAAAATATATATACTAAATATATATATAGCCTTCTTGGTCATTGTTGCCACGATCTCACGATACAGACGCCCTCCCCCACCACGACGAGCCACCCCCTTCTGGTCCGGGTTGGTTTTTAGTAACCGGACTGCCTCCAGCTACCTCCGTTCCCATGAATTTAATTTGTAAGTAGCGCTGCGCTGAGTTCAGATGAGTGTCTGACCTCACCTTTTCTCTGACCGTTTTGTTTTACGACAGTTTAAACCACCACTGAGAGAGCGTCGAGGGGGACTGTAACATTTTGAACATTGTTTATAACCGCATTGTTTATAAAAACAAACCCATTGTTAAAACAAACCCCACTTTTCTAAACTTCCTCACTAAACATTCCCCCCCCTCTCCACTGACCTCGCCTAGATTCCAGGCCAGGAACGGTAAACCGTACCCCGGTCAGTTCTTAGGCCTCGGGGGGTCGGGGGAAGGAAGGCGCCATGAGGGGTCGCTCGTGGAGGTGAAGGGGAGAGAGCCGGGTCCTGGGGTAGCTCTATATCATCAAAGCGTGGGCGTAGAGCTGTGATGGGTTTGGGTGAGCGTTGATGAAACCATAATTCTCACCCATCTGTGGTGACGATGGCCATTATCGCTAATATTCACCAGTGTCGAGCATATTAATAAGCTGTGACTTAACTTGTATGGTCGGATATTTGGTGTTTGGACAGGGTTGGTGGATCATTTAGACCAACATGTATGTGATACACCCATTGATATGCGATTATATTTGACCACTGGCCAGGGCTTGGCAGTACAAGTACTTTGATGTAACAGATATATTTTGTATGTGTTCTCTTATCGTGTCCTTGGGTTTTCTCTGGGCAGTCTTCTTTTGAACCCAGTCGTGAAATCTGCTTAAAAATGAAGTGGTCGACAACTTCATGCAGCAGCCTCCTTAAAATAAACCTTGAGCCTCAGGCTGTCATGGATATAAAAAAAACCTAATTATCTTACAGCGTTAGACCTTTACTACCAACCTCACAGCACAGCAAGCATCAAATAATATATTAAATTACTAATGTATTATATTATATACCAGCAGAAGGAATAACTAGATTAAGTATTAGATATATAATATTTTTGTTTATTTTTATTTCCACCTGGGACCAAATTTGAATTGGGTGGGGTTTAGTCTCTCTGGCCGAAGGGGGTTCTTCGGGCCAGTGGAGACTTCTCCACCAGCGATCAACAGGTGCCGTCCGAGAGCACCAAGCTGCTCTTGCATCTCGAAGTGTGTTTCCCCTTTACCGCTTCCTCCCTTGTCATTAAAGGGGCAGTCCCGAGTATTTGCGCGGCTCGGATTTGTAGCCGGAGCGTGATGGCACACGCTCGTGATCCAGCACTTTGGGCAGGGTTGGTGGATAATGCAGATTTGCACTTCCCCGAGCTGTGAGGGAGCCAAGAGATTCAAGTATAGCAATAGATTATTGAATCCCAAGTGATTGGAGGTTTGAGTATTATTACCCCCTTCGTGTGAGATTCGTGTTTTTTTTCTGGGCATTTCAGTTTATTTTAAGCCCCTAATGGAATAAACCAAGCCTTCCAATGCACGGTTGCTCCTGAATAAAGTATTTTAGGCTCCGTAAGGAATTCCAATATAAATTAGAATAAAAAAAAGTCAAACCAAGTAATCACTTGGGATCTTGTAGCTAACGGCTTACGTAAGAGTTCCCCTTAGATTGCCTTTGAAAGACAAAGGTTTTGGGGAAAACAGTCTTACTGTCTTCACAATTTATGGAAGTGGCGTTAGGCTACATTTGTAGACTGGCAGCAGCCTTAATTGAATACCTTTGGTGATCATATTTCGAGAATCCTTCAACGGACCACTTTGGATTTATTGATTTGATTAAATTGATTTAATGTGCTTTCATGCAATTACTGTCATTCCAGCCTTTGCTTCCCCCTTGTGTGTGACCCACGAACTCCTGCAACCGACTCCCCTGTTGTGCGGCAACGGAAACACACTTCCAGACACAAGCCGCAGCTCAAGTGTTGCGAGCTGTATAGACTCTTCTTATATTACAGTACTTATTTTTCAGCAAAGGAAACCACAAAAACAGAAAACACTGGTATTTCAGTCTTCACAGTCCCATGGGGCTTCGTCCATGTGACCCGTTAGCCAGCTTGGCTGAAGACAGAAACCCAAAAAACAAACGCCTCTTATCCTCTAGACATCTGATACACACGTGTGGGCTGTGCTTCCTGGGCTATATCCAACGCGAGTTTTGAAGCTTTGTTAATTCACAAAGTTGCTAGGGTAGTACGCTCACGTGATTGTGATCTCAGTTTTTTTTAATTGTCAAGAAATCGTCTTTGTATCCAGGTTTCAGTTGCTGTGATTAGACGCTTTCATCAATTTCAAACTGTGTTGTAAACCGTTGTGTACTGTTTAGTGTCGCTGCATCACGAGCGCTCGATGTGAAGGTCACCATAAAGGTCGTTGAATCAGTTAACAGCACTCCACACTCACGCGGAAACAGTCCGAGACACAGCCCAGGTGTGTAGCTACTAATGAAGATCTGATTGCCGTTTTTTTTCTAGGTTTGTCTTTAATCCCTCTGTTTAATCCTGGAGCTTGCCCCCAGGAAGATGTTAACTCGTGGCCCGAGTGTGTGCGTGGGGGTTAGTGTGGTGAATGTGGGGCGGCGGTGGGGGGACGGGGGTGTTGTGTTTCAACATGTCGTCACAGTGTGTTGTGTTTCACCACTGAATGTGCTCCTCACGTGAACACGACACAGAAGGACGGGAGGGGGACGCGGAGATTGGGGGAGGGGAAATGGTTTGGAGGGATGGAAGAGGGAGACGGAGAGTGGGGCAGAGAGATAGAGGCGGAGATGGAGAGGCAGAGGAGAGTGTCAGCGGTGGAGGAGGAAAACGTAGAGAGCGACCGACGAACTTGGAGATAATGGAAGAGGTAGAGAGAGTGGAACAGGCAGAACGAGAGGAGAGTAGAAGTGAAGGTCAACGGCGTGCGTGCATGAAAGGTGTAATAGAAGAGTGAATGCGAGATAGAATAAATACATAACATTGGAGGTGGACAAAGGGAGGACGAGAGAAATGGAAACGTAAAAAAAATGAGGCGAGAGGGAGAAGTGGAGAGACGGATGGGGAGAGAGGTGAGAAGGAATGGGTATCGATAGGGAGAGACGAAGGTCGTGTCGAGTTACAGGGTGTCCGTGAGGCACTGTTTCTCCAAACCGTGGATACGTTTTTCGAGAGCAGAGAAGATTAATGTATTTATTTATTTATCTATCCATTCTATTAGTGGACAGCAGAATAAGCTCGCATTGTTTGCCAATGTGGGGCCGGGGGATGGGGAAGCGAGCAAAACAGAGGTCCGAGTGTTTGGATCGTGATGTTATCTTTCAAAATAATTTCTCAATGTAATAGTTATTTTTTTAACGTGTTGTTCCGTGCCACTGACTGAATAAAACTGGTTGTGTTGAACGTGCACGTGGTGAGATCTCTGACGACAGCGACGGGAGGTCCAGAAGTAGCCATCGGGATCCTGGAAGTTAAATCCTTTCCTGGAGGTACGGCGGTGGCGGAATATATTAACTGCCTCGCCTGGTATACAGGAGAGGTCGTGGGTTCGATCCCGATCCTGACGCCTGTATATTTGGAGTTTGCATGTCTCTCTTCCCCGCGGTCGCGTGGATTCTTCTCCGGATTCGGGTTTTCCCTCCACATTTAGAATCAACATGTATTTTAGAGTATTTGGTCGTTCAAAATTTAAATGTGATATAAGCAACTTCATTGTGCTATCATTTGTGGGCAGATCGTTTTTGAAAAAGAGCTATATAGCTCAGTGGGCCTTACCTGGTAAAATAAACATAGTTTTAAATATTGTCGAGCTTAGATTCATTCAGTTATTTTTAATCTGGTCATGTGGGTGCCCACTGACACGTTCCATTGAAAGTGGCATTGACACAAACGAGAACCAGTATCGCGTATCTTGAAATGAGCAACTGCACATTGAGGGGTCACCTTTTATACACTTTGGCAATGAATCCTATGAAGAGCGCACAATGAATATGTATGGGGCACAATTATATCATCCAGTGCGCATAGAACTTGTAGTCAACGTTACGCAAGGAAAACTGCAGTTATTTGGGTGTATCAATAGATGCAGCAAACTATCCAAACCACCCAGAAGCAAACCCTAGATGCAGAACATCGCATCCTAACGGGCTTCAACTAAAACCAGCTGATCAGTGAGATTGAGGGCCGAGCGAGGTGGATGGAGATCACAACCAGAGCTGCCAACACGTTGCCCCCAACCACCTCGTCTTTAGACCGGTGATGATAGCTGAATTGAAGGAACGTAGACACAACCTGAACCATGAGGGTTGAAGGAATAGATTTCTCCAATGGAGATGACAGGATCTTGGAATACTGCCCATTTCTTCACAAGAGCTGTGAGAAAGAACTGTAATCCCCTTTTGTTGCTAAATTCAAACATAAAACCCCCCCAGAAATGGTTTTATTCCACTTGGCCACCTTTTGTCGGCTGCCCAGTCGAGTCCACGGAAACAAAAACAGGTTTTCACCGAGGAAGCGTGGAAATATGGACACGGCGCTGGGAGGACGGGAAGTGTCGCTGCTGAGATCCAGGTCCCCCGCCCGCTTTGAGTGAACAATGAAAGATATTTGCGCTCGACGGCGTGGGATCCAAGTTGACCCAGCGGTCAGTGCGGTCACCACGCACGCACACGCAGTTCGCACGAGGCTGCGACTTTGGAGTCTTGGATCCCTTGGCCCCAACCTCAACCGCCCGGGTCCATCTTCATCGAGCGAGAATGATCGGAGCCGCATCATCGGTGCTGATATCACGAACAGGTTTTTTTTAGCCGAGAATGCTGCACTGCTTTTTGTGTGTTTTAGTTTGCTGTCCTTGCCCCGCACCCCCGATTAGCACGGTTGGCTTCGTACGGTGTAAAAGAAGTTAAAACGTACGTGGTTTTAGTTAGCGTTGTGATGTAATCGTAACGAATAAAAGAAAATACGCCACGTCATTCTGTTAACTTTAACGTTAATCATAAATGGACATTGGCACGTCCACTGCATCCCCACACGGCCGATATGGGCGACGCCGGCCGTTTTGCTCCACCGAGTGGATCAAACAAGAGTGAGATAAAAAAAATGACTGATATTTCGGGCAATGGCTCTTCTTCAGAGTAGAGAGAGGGGGCAGAGAGAGGAACTCACTTGCAGTTGGAGGTCACACTTTACACTGAGGCCCGTGGGGAAACTTGGAAATGTTTTGAAAGTTGGCAAGTTAATAGTTTAGAATCGAGCAGTCACAATGAGCATCCATCAAATAACCTCGTCAAGAATATAAACAAAAGACCGATTCACGGTTCCCTCAGTTTCCTTACAATCCCTGTTGATATGGTTTCAACTCCTGCCCACACTGCTTGCACGTCGGTGGATATTCGAATCTAGGAGCTCGGCCAGGAGTCAGCAACCTGCGGCTGCGGAGCCGCATGCGGCTCTGTAAGGACTGCTCCGTGACGTTACTTATTAAGGACCACCACCGTCTCGTAATTCACACCACAGTGCATTGCGGCTCTTGGAACATTGAGTTTTTCTTTCTTTCCCGATATCGAAAAAAATAGCCCTTTCTTGTTATTTTGGTTGCCGGACCCATGAGCTAGCCTGTGTCTACCCCAGGTCCACTCTGCCTAAAGACAGTAAGCCACCGTTGGCTTAGGGCTGGCTACCACATCGCTCGTGTGAGCTCGGGGACGACTCTGTGAGACGAGTTGTGCCTCGAGTTGTCAATCTCCTCTGTGGTCATCGCGACCTCGCTGAAACCACAGTGGTGCCACGCCGCTAGTTGGAGACGGTTTGCTTCCTGCTGATAAAAAAACTCGGCTCCAGTGACGGTGTAGGAACTGGATATGGGGGGGGGGGGTCGGGGCAGGAACTGGGGGTTGAGATAAGAAGTCAAGTGGGGACATGCACCGAAATTAGACGTGATCGATACACTGCTGGATGAAGGCCTCCCCAAGTCGTCCGCATCTCACTCATCCCTGTGATGTAACAGTTTCAGCTTATCAAAATCTTTGTTTAGACTGGAGGAATCCGATGAGCTATGAAGCACTTTTTCGGACACGTCCAGATGTCCGGTGTTGTCAGTCTATCATTGGCTAGACTCGGATCAGAGATTATTTAATTGATGACGATTGCAACGATGAATATATTTATAATGAATGTTTTTTTATTGTGCTTATGATGATGATGCAATGGCTAGACCAGACTGGCTACACTGTACACACACAGCACAATAATCCTGAAGTAGACCAATTATATCGCAATGCTGCGTTGGCAGTGGTGCACACACATAATTAACAAAACAAGTCATCTGTTTTTCGTCAAAAACACTGTGCCCCTTAAAGTAAACATGAAATAAGCAGCTTTTCGGGCAATTACGCTTCTTCACAGCACTTCAGAGGAAATTCAAGTGCTGAACTTGGTTTTTACGTCGAGGTGCTGCCATACCCTAGCTCGCCAGCAGAGGGGCAGAATGTTAACTACCTCGCCCGGTGTACAGGAGGACGTGGGTTCGATCCCGAACCCTGGCACCTGCTGTATATTTGGAGTTTGTGTGTTCTCCCCTTGGTTTGTGTGGATTCTTCTCCGGGTCCTCCGGGTTTTACCTCCACATTTAGAATCAACATACGTTGAGTATTTGGCCGCTATAAATTTCCACATGAGCCACTTCATTCGGCTATCATTTGTGGCCAGGCCGCTTCTGAAAATGAGCTATTATAGGTCAGTGGGCCTCATCTGGTAAAACAAAAATGAAATTAAAGCGAGTGAACGAATCGCCATCTGTTTTCATCTGTACGTAGATTGAGCGTGGTTCCTTCGCATGCTCGGGTTTCCTCTTGCGTGTATAATAAACACATTGTGAATTTCCCGAAAACATAAACAGAAAAAATACGTGACCCTCCTGAAAAACAAGTCCTTACGAGTCGGTGTGTCTTTCCCGGATAAACCCGCTATTATTATTCTTGTTAAGTTCCCTTTTGAGTTTGTTCCAAATAAACCTCGAGCAAGGGATCGCGGGGACTGGGTTAAGTGGCTCGGCTCCTTTCATCTCGCGTGGAATTCTCTCCCCCCCCCCCCGCCCCCCGGTCAGCCGTGGAAACAAAAGGGAGCCTCTGGATAGAGCAGAGCGCTTCCTCCTTCTGAACTGGACCTCGGCATTGCGAAGGATCAAACACAAAACAATGGCCTCGTCCCAGCAGGGTTGAGGTGGGGGGGCGTGGAGGGAATACAGAGGCAGGGGACCTTCCTCTAAGCGCCCCCCCTCCCCGCCCCCACCGTGTCGGGGTCTCAGCCAAGGGAGAGATGAAGTTGGGGTTCACAGGAGGGCCCCTTCCACGGACCCCTCCTCCTCCCATATGGAATGGGAATAGGGTCATGGGAGTGGTGACCGGGCAGGGTTGGGATTATTTAACTTACAGCCGTTTCTAAATTCAATCCACCACGGGATGTAGCCCCCGGCCCCCCCCCCCCCCTTCTCTCTCTCCACGCCATGTCAGTCATTGGGGTTGTTTGGTCATACTTCACCACGCTGGTCATTGCGGGTTGGTGTACAAGGTCCCCCACGTATTCCAGATTCCTCCCACATGCGAACATCTAATATTACATAAAGACTTGGCAAGACACCTCAACGCAGGGGACTTGGCTGATGATTTCCTGAATATATTATTATTAACTACAGACAAGTACCTGTATACCACTGCCAACATTGGCCCCTTGACGAATAGATTTAATTATCCTGTGAGTGAGTGATGGGGCCGAGACTTTGAGCCTCTCAATGAGCTGAGTTGCCACATGCACAATTGGACACCTCCACATTCACATCCCAGTATAACATTTTTATTGAATGATATGCATTAGAGAACAGCATCAGTAGTGGTCTTAGGTTTTTTTTGTTGTTGGGAAAAAAACCTAAAACAAAGATCCCCCATATAGCCTTAACAGACTGTTGGGGACCAGTGCTTGTTAAGCGAGCACCTATTTAGGGCAAATATAATGAAGGACGTGTGTTGGGCTGGCCACACCAACCCAATAAACTGGTAATATGCCAGCCTTAAATAGGTGCTTGCAAACACGTGTCTGTAAGGCTGAACAAGAGATCTGTCTGTAACAAAGATCCCCCATATAGCCTTAACAGACTGTTGGGGCAAGTGCTGTTAGCGAGCACCTATGAAGGCCGGAACGGCCCACGAAGAAGTGGGTGGGGGGGGACAACACGACAACAGGTCGCCTTTATCTCCCCAGTGGCAATGTTTACACACCGCACTAAGTACTCAATTGAGGCTGAGTCGACCTAGGATAGGCCCAGGACCAGTTCAGATAATCGTCACCAATGAGGACCGTGAGCGGGAATCGAACTCAGGTAGCCAGGGTTCGGAGCGCAAAGCGCTAACCCCCACACTACCGCTCCCACACACACACGCGCGTACGTGCGTTACCGCACACGTGCCACTCCCTTAGCTACGTCGTTGCTTTGAACAAAGCGACTCAAAGACAAACACACGCGCGCCACTTCGCATAAACAAATGTGAGCCCTGTGGCACGTGTCTCCCCCCCCCCCGCCTCTTCCAGTGAGGACAATGACGCAGAGACGTGGTCTCTCTCATCGACTCCAGCCTTACACAAGGTGGACCCCGTGGGCACGAACGCTGTCAGCTATCAGAGCCCAAAGCCTTCCTCGCCGTATAACTATAATCCTAGCTGTAATATTGCACTATCCATACCCCTCTTAACCCGAAACCATTAGCCTAACCTTCGGCATATTAGCACTCATCTGTAACTATAGCACGAAGCCTCGCCTCATAGCCCAAACAATTAAAACTAACCCTAGCCCTATCTTTAAACCACTGAATTCACTCGGCACAGAACCTTCCTGGCTAGTGGGTTAATATTAACCCATAACCCAGTGGAAACTGCAGCGTGGGAGCTTTCCTCCCTACACCACGACTAACAACCGACTTCGGTGAACGTAGTTCGCAGTACAGCAACAACTGCCGTTCGCCACTAAGTGGCAGTGATGTCATCACGGGGCTTGTGCCAGGCTAGGTGCACTTTGGGGCCACCTTAAGGTGGTCACGGGACAGACCCAGGTGCCATAGGTTGATTGACTGGGATGACTGGAACGTGCACCACCTCTGCTCCGCAATGTAAAGTTGCTGCGTTTCAGCCGCCCAGTGCTCCGCTCGTTGTTGTGAACGCACGTACACACAGTATATACACACACACATTAGGCAAGTAACAATTTATCCCCTTGGGATTCAATTAAATGTCACAACTCCGAAGTCACTATTCAAGATTCTACGCTGCTAACGTCGTGTTGAATGTAGCGGGCTGCAGGTATCACGCAAACCAATTGCACAAAACAGTCGTAGAAATCATCAATGGTCCACACGCAGGATCATCCATCCCATGCCTAACATGTGCTTAAGGTAGTTGTTATTCCACTAAACCAGTGTTGCCATTTCAAGGGTTTCACCTCCAAATATTGAACGTTCAAAATACAGAAAATGCAGCATAAATAAGCTTTGGGAAGCTTTATAGTCGGACACAAGATTTAGTTTAAGGATTATCGTTAGTACTGTGGAGTGATATGCCCAATATTTACACATTCACCCACTGCACGTGGACGTCAAGGGGTTAATAAACCCAGACCAGGAAAACCCCTCTTAGGAAACCCCTTCGAACATTTTTAATTCAACGGCATGACCAGAAAAGGGGGGGGGGGTGCGCTCTGGTGCCCCCATCTGTGCCTAACCCACCACCCCACCACCACTACCGCCCAATAATTTACTCAGAGAAATGTAACGCCTTCGGGTAAGGACCGCTCCCCCAGCCACAATAAACCCCCCTCCGGCCCCCCTCCCTTCCCGCCTCCCCCCCAAAGTTATTGCTGGCGAACCAGACAGCAAAGCAGATGGTGTACACGTGTACATAACATACACGTGTACATAATATACACGTGTACATAATATACACGTGTACAGGTACAGTAGGTGTTACCCATGTGCACAGGTGTACGCGTATAGGTCTACATACATGTACACCACAGGACGTGTCACACGTGTACACGACGATTTACCGTTATATGCATATGCACACGCAATGCACATGTATGCACAGTTAACGTAGACAACTGCATACATGACTAAATTTAGGCACAGATATACATGTGTACGTACGTGCACATGTAGAGGTGCAGTATACACCTGTGCATACATCTACGTTCACATCCCACACAGTCGTACTAGCACAGGTGAACATGCGATACATGCACATGTGTACAGGGATACACGTGTGTGCGTTACACTTTTATACGTTCAGGCATGCACAAATGTACAGATGTGAACGTTGCACACATGCGCATGAATGCATGTACACGTGTGCGTCTTGCACGCCTCGAAGAATCTATGTGGGGTGACACGTGCACATGTGCCATGCATGCTAAGGGTATACGTGTTACTGGAATGCGTGCGCGTGTAATTGGCATGTGTTACACACATGCACGTGCAGGTGTACGTGTTATACACATGCGTGTACATGCACGTGCATATAATGTGTTATTTACATGTACGTACGTGTAGGTATAAGAGGTGCAGCCGCTGCGTGTACCCGTGGGTACACGCACTGGCTTATGCATTGATGCACACTGGCTTGCACAAGCAAGTGTGCATCAATTTTCAATTAAAAATCAGAAAAGTAACCAAACAATAAACCGATGATACCTCCTTCTCCATCATCTCAACCACCGTTCCCCGTCACCGCCTCCAACTCCACCAACACCGCCTGCACGACCTCCACCACCTTTACTACCTCCTCCTCTATCACAACCTCCTCCACCCTCACCACCGCCAACAACCTCCTACCGCCACCGCATCACAAGTCATCAATGAGCTTCTCCCCGTTCTCCTCTGTCCCGTCGTCGGCCATCATCCCGGCCCCGTCGTCCTGGCCTCCTCCTCCTCCCCCCTCCTCGTCGTCGTCGCCACCTCTGTTGTCCTCCTCCTCGTCGTCGTCGTCGCCGTCGTCGTCGTGGCGGTGGCGGTGGCCGGTCTCGGCGTAGGGCCCTTGCGACTCGTAGCTGAGCATGGTGCGCGCCAGGTCCACCTCGATGGGGAACACGTCCGCCTCCTTGAGCACCGCGTTGCAGTCGTCGTGGTAGCGCGACATCGCCGACACGAAGCGCTGCAGCTGGAACACGATGTCTTGCACTGCGGAGACACGAGCATAAAGACGTGGGGATGAGCACATGGGCACGTGGACACGGGGACACGAACAATGGATATGGGCGCAGGAACACGTGGATATGGGGACAACAGGGAAAGGGATGAACACAGAGACATGGAGATACGAGGACACCAGGGATAGGGATGAGCGCAGGAACACATGGATACAGGGACACGAGGGATGGAGACGAGCACTTGGGATGCGAGGGTTAGTGCGGTGACACGGGGGCAAGCGTGTGGAGAATGGGTGTACGTGGACAAGGTGAGAATCCTGTGGATGACCAGAAACCCGGGGGCCACAGGGGTGAGTGTGGGGACACAGGGAGGACAGCAGAAAGCCGAGTGCGGGGCCCAAGGTTCACATCCGCTGTGAGCAGCGATCCCCACGAACTCGCATGGCCCCTCTTTGGCCTAGAGGCAGGTCACCTCTGCCCCTCCTCTACATCCCCACGCCCACACTCCCCCACCCCCTACGACTCTCCCTGCAGACACCCACGCACATCTTTAAAATCCGAGCCTCGTGGAATCGTGTCTCGGGTAACAAACTCAGAGCAAGTGGCCCCGCAGCGAGAGACGCCGAACGCCCGTGGGTGCGTGCGCACGTTCGATTAGTGCACCCACGTACTGTGGTAGTGGTCAGCGTGGCGCGTATGTACAGTTCGTTTGTGGTGTGTGCTCGTGTTTAGTGCGGCGTGCGTGTGTGGATGCAAGTGCTATTGTAATAGGTGGAACATTGTGTATGTGTGCGTATGCAAGTGGTGTGTGTGTGTGGTGTGGGGAGCGGTAGTGTCGCGGTTAGCGTGCTGTACCACGAACCGGCGATTATCTGAACCGGTCCTGGGCCTTCCCTAGGTCCGACTCAGCCTCAAATGAGGACCTGGTGTGATGTGTAAACATCACCACTAGGGAGACAAAGGCGGCCAGGCGTGGTGTTGGCCACCCACCACCTCGTGCTGGTTCACACCACCCCCTTGTGCACTGTGCCAGCCCTCACAGGTGCTCGCTAACAGCACTTGCCCCCAGCAGACCATAAATGGCTATACGGAGGACCTCTTTGTGTTTGTGTAAGTGCATGTGTGTGTGCGCATGCACATACATCTGTGCGTGTGTACGTGCGCATATTTAATCGTCGTGGAGATAAATGTCGGTGATATTTTCCAAGCGGCTAATGGAGCGATGGGACGTTTTATGCTGCGTCTGCCGCCTCCTCACGATAAAAACGCATTAAACGCACGCGCGCACACACACGTGTGTGTACATGCACACACAGGCAAAGACGCCTTGTGTAGCATTAAAGCCACTGGGATAAGCGCTGCGAGCGAACACTACTTAAGACCGGCACAGCGCTCGTGGTGGGGGTGGTGTGGGCAGCACCACACATCTGTGGCTGCCTTTTGTCTCCCCATTGTCAATAATAATGATTGCTCCAGATGCTCGTTATGGGCCAAGTTAACCTAAGGGAGCATCTGGACATATTCAGGTGACATATGCCAGCGATGATGGCCGTTATGGCCAGGAATTTATTCCAACTTTGTTGTGCTGCTGCTGCTCAAAACACTACTACACTCCACACCTTTATACTGTACATCCATACACTGCACTAACCACTACCACACACCAAAAGCAATTTACCCCGTATAGCCCTAAAAACTGTTGCGGCAAGTGCTGTTAGCCAGCACCTATAAAGGCTGGCACAGTACATGAGTGGGTGGGTGGCCAACATCACGCCCATCTTTGTCTCCTCAGTAGCAATGTTTACACACCGCACCAGGTACTGAGGCGACCTAGGGGAGGCCCAGGACCAGTTCAGATAATTGTTACTGGCGTTAGCCGTGAGCGGGAATTGAACCCGGGTCGCCGGCTTTGTAGTGCAGCGCGCTGACCGCGACAATACATGCATACACATGCATGGATGCACGTACACAAGCACCCATGCACGTACACACACATACACACACTCCAATAACGCATAGGGTACATGAGCCAAGAGGAACTCTGCCCGAGGTCGTTGAGGACGTTTGGAAGCCGACATCTCTACCGTGAGACTCTACGCGCCCCAGGGCACATGGAACCCTTGCAAACACACCACACACACAACACAGCATCTGCATGCAAGCACATAGCACGACCCGGAACAACACAGAGCACGACGGCAAGATAATAATCCCACTCAAGACGAGGACAGACATTCACGCCTCCAAAATGTGTATTTTTTTTAAAGAAAATTAAACTTTATCAGTACGTCTTCGGGTCGGAAGACGTAAGGAGGATCTCACACGGCTATGCGGGGGGCGTGTGGCACAGTTTGGCGCCAGGTATCATAGACTGCGGTCATGGCGCTTTAGTTCTCTGCGGTGAGAACAATGTCCTTAAAAAATAATGGCGCTACATCTCTCTCAATCGAATTAACGCTAATCGCTTGCGCGTCCCGAGATTCAGCGGTGTGAACGGGACCCCACCCTGGAATTTGCAGACGTCTCCGAATGGGAAAGGGTTAAGGTGCAGGAATGATAACAAGAAGAAGAAATTTTTGTGTTTGTAAAGTGAGTGGGGCGCATTTGCCAGGTGTCGACTATTTTTTAAAATTTTCTTTACTTTTTACCAGGTAAGGCCCACTGAGCTATATAACTCTTTTTCAGAGGCGACCTGGCCACAAATGATATCTGAACAAAGTGGTTTATCACGTGGAAATGTATAGCAGCCAAATACTGTGGAGGGAAAAAGCGGAGGACCCGGAGAAAAATCCACCTAAGCACAGGGAGAGAGACATGCAAACTTCAAATATAGAGGTGTCAGGGTCAGAATCAAACCCACAACCTTCTGTACAGCAGGCAAGAGAGTGAACATCTCGCCACCGTGGTCTACTTAGCAACCCAACAAGCGTCCTTCACCAGTTTTGACTGCGATTGTTTTTTGAGAAACGTTTAATATTTAATGACGATACCTTGAAATTCACTGTAATGGTCTCCTCGTGTTGAAGATGTTTATGCTGGGCTTGGCACCATGTGGTGCATTACCTTACTTAGACACCCCCTGTCTGCTGGAGACACCCTGGTAATCCCTGGCTGGAACCATCATGACCAAGGTATGTGATTGAATTAACAAAAAAAATGTTGTTCAATGTTTACCGTCTCGTCCATAGTGTTGTCTGATCTCTTATCTTTTTGTCCAATCAATGATAGTAGCGCTAACATTTACCATTCAATGTGCATATAATTTACATAAATTCTAAGTAATCAATTCTCTCACACACAATATTCAATGTGCTTATCGTACGATAAATTGATGCGTCGTTGCACGCCCACTCACGACCCCTTGCTCTGGACTAATTGTCGTTGCTCCTGCGCTCCCCCCAGCTGTGAACCCCAGCGGTGACCCCCAGCGGTGACGCCCAAAAGTGACCCCCAGTGGTGACCCCTCACCATGCTTCTGGTCCAGCAGCTCGATCTTCTCCATGACGTCCTTGCGCAGTTTGGCGAAGCGAGCGCGCGCATCCTGGCGGCAGCGCAGGATGAGCCGGTACTCATAGTTACCGGTGCCCACACGGTACAGCGGCTCCTGCAGGGCCTGAGCAGCAGTAACAACAACCATCACCACGACGACCATTACAATACCACCACTACCACTGTTATGATACCACCAATATTACCACTACCACCACCGTTACAATACCACCACTACCATCATTATAACACCACAACTACCACCGTTGTAATACTACCACTACTAGAGTCACAATTACAAATACCACCATACAACACCACCACTGCAACTACTATCATGTTACTACAGTGGCTCCTACATAGCCTGAGTAACAACGATTATCACAACCACAACAATTACAAATAAAACCATCTCTAAAACTACAACCACCACAATATTACACACAAAATTCAGTGCCTAAACAGCAATTACCATATCGATCACGACACCAGAACAAATCACAATGTACAGCTCCTGTCACTCCCACTGCTGGATGAAGGCATCCACATGCCGTGTAGGAAATGGGCGGTTGTTTGACCATACTTCACCACGCTGCTCAATGCGAGTTGGTGAATGGGCGAGGTGGGGGGGGGGGGCACAGGACCGGCTTAGATATCACTCGTCTTTTAATGTTAGCTGTGACCTAGAATCAAACTCGCATCGCTGGGTTGATAATGCAGGAAGGCAACCACTGTGCCACTCCTCCACCCCAATAATAATCATCATGGCCTTTAAATTTATCCAACATCCGGTCTGGTTCATGGGCTCCTAGCTCAAATATCAGTCGCTACCAATTACCGCCTTCTTAATGCAGTGGGTGTGCTAACCACTGCTCTCCCCACTACACTACTGCCTCCCATTATAAACCAAAACATTAAACTATAGCATTTTCTGCAGTACATCATTATCATCATCAGCAGCAATTTACACTGCAGCATTGGCAGCACTGGCAGCACGTGCAGCACAGGCAAGGGCAGCACGGGCAGGCACAGAGGCGGTACAGGTGGCAGCACAGGTGGCAGCACAGGTGGCAGCACAGGTGGCAGCACAGGTGGCAGCACAGGTGGCAGCACAGGTGGCAGCACAGGCATTAGTGTGTGCAGGCAGCACAGGCAGCACGCGCCGCCCCTCTCACCGCGTAGCTGTATTCCTCGTCATCCATCTCCTTCACCTTGAGGCAGTACGACTATCGAGAGGGGGGGAGGGGCGACAGTTGAGTCGGGGTGCGGGGTGTCTGGGTTCACGATGCTGCTTACGTATGTGCCAATACACACGGGCGTGGCGAGCATACTGGCACACACGCGCACACGTATACCAGCACACATACACACACGTATACTAACACAGTGTCACACAGACACACGCACATACGCATTGCAGTACAGGCACAAAGACGATTTTACAAACACATGTGCAGGCACGCAAACACACAGATGTAAACACATGCATGCAATCATGTACTGCAGGCACACAAAGACATCACACACCCGTGCACTGGCATGCATGCATACGCATATGTTAGGTGATGCACATACACACATTCAAACATAGACACGCACAAAGATCCCTCGTATAACCTTCACAGACTGTTGGGGCATGTGATGTTAGCGAGCACCTATTAAGGGCCAAAATGGCCCACGTGGGGGTGGGTGGCCACCTGTTTACACACCACACCAGGTACTCATATAAGGCTGAGATGACTAAGGGGTGGCCCAGAACTGGTTCATATATTCATCGCTGGCATTGGTCACGAGCGGGAATCGTACTCGGGTGGCCGGATTCGTAGCGCAGTCCCCGCTAGTCACTGTGCCAACGCTCTCCAGACGTGCACGTAGGCACGCAGGGACGCGCACTCAGACGTTACATCACGCACGTACAAGCACTCGCATGCACACGCGCACACGGACGACACGCGTGTATTCACGCCGCTGCCCCCGCACACGGCACGTCTCACTCAGGGCGGCAGCGCCGGCGCGATTAAACATTAACGAGCATGGCCCGGAGCCCATTCGAACATTCCATCTATAGCTTTATTCAGGCCCTCGGTAGTTTCACTCTCATTCATGCGCATTCACCGATAGTCGTCGTCGTCATCATCATCATCATAATAATCGTCGGCTACCACCAATCCAATGCTGGATGAAGGCCCTACCACCCCACACTGTCGCCATCTTTCGCGGTGCTGCGCTGCGGTGCGGTGATCCGCCCGGCGGGCACGCACGCACAAATTTCATTGCTCCACCTCCAAAGCGAACGCATTCGTGGGGCGTGTTCCTTCCCTTGGCTGCCTCTGTCATTTACTTCAACCATCGGTCCCCGTCCCTTCGAGCATAGTATCCTGCCCAAGCCACTTGTCTTTATTAATGGTTAACATGCTGTCAAGCCGACTTGCATTTGTTCTCATATTATTGTGTAATGCGGCTGAGCGATGTTGTGCTCATTGCCCTCGACTCACAATCAGTTCGCATCCTATTCAGGGATTGACCGATGCCATGATAAAATGAGTACCACTTTGCGAAGCCAAAAGTGTCATTTGTTTTTCTCTCGTCGATTCTCAACGCTCTTTTTCAGCAGGCTGCTGAATTGGAAACGAAGCTCTATTGCTCCTGAGGCACAGAAAGTCACCGAATAATCATAAGGATGGCGCTGGTCGTTACACCCACACCATAACAGCGCGCACTGCCAACACTTTCCTGTCTTGTGCCAATATGCTCAAGTACTGCACATATTTCTGGCACCAATTTCGTATGATTTCGTCATCAAGCCATTATCTGCAAGGTCTTCTGCTTCTTTCCATTTTTCCGAACGCACTTTTAATTTTCCTTTTGTTGTCCATTGTCCATCCTATATATGTGTCCAAATAGAAGGCGCCACACAGCGCTCAAATTTGAGTCACGGTTAAACCAGCACTGGCTCCACACGCTGCAGGCACGTGCACGACATGCCGGGCATACTCACCAGGTACTCAAACTTGGTGTCGGCGTACTTCCTGATGGTCAGCTTCGTGTCGGGCACGGCCTTGTTGAGGTACGTGTTGAGGTCACTGAGCATCTATAGAGACAAATGGGCCTGAGTTTAGCCTGAGAGACTGCAGGACTAAGCGCGGTTAGCGAGCACCCGCTTAAGGCTTGCATGGGAGCATGAGACAGTGATGTGGCCAGCACCTATGCATGTCCGAATGCCTTTAATCTGCAGAGTGTTGATGTTAACACTGTCCTGGGTTACCCATGGGATGGTCCGGGTGGCTCAGAACAGGCTCAGTAATGGCCTGTAAATTAAGTTGTGTATCAAGAGTATTGGAATTGAACCCAGGTGGCCGGGATCGTATCGCAATGTAAGCCACCGCACAGCCGGACACAAGGCCCAAGCGTCTCTCTGCTCAAATACAAGTGGGGTGGTGCATGTCACTGTTGGCGAGTTCCGAGCCACTGGTGGGAATTCCACATTCCGTTTGGATTTATACATTTTTTGTTCAAAGTAATGATGGATAGCCCAGCTGTATGAGCTGGAAACGTTCATGATCGTGGCAGGAACATGTTAATAACTCACCCTGACCATCATCAGCACCCCCATTTCTATAATCATCATTATAGTAATGGGCGTCATAGAGGCGAGATGTTAACTATTTCACCTGGTATACAGGAGTTCATGGGTTCTACCGCAACCCTGACGCCTGTATATTTGCAGTTTGCATGTGTTCTCCCATGGTTCGCGTTAATTTTTGTCCAGGTCCTCCGGTTTTTCCCTCTATAGTTAGCAACATGCGTTTAGAGTATTTGTTTACTGCTATAAACTTCAACCCGATAATCAGCCACTTCGTGGAGCTATCATTTGTGGCCAAGTCGTTTCTGAAAAAGAGCTAAATAGCTCAGTGGGCCTTACCTGGTAAAACAAAAAGTTTAGTTTGCCATCTTCATTTTAATCACCATTACCACCAAGCACGCTTTTTGTGCAGTCATGATCAACAACTCACGACATCAACTTTCCACATTTGAGAACCCAGTTTTCATCACAGGCCATTGAAAACCAGATTCGAACCCACGATCTCAGCAGTGCTGGTGGGCCAAGTGTCCGACTCGACCATTACGAACCTCCCCGAGATAGCGAGTCATCCTGAGCCAGGGTTTGAACCTTGAAGAGAGGTACCTCGGTGGTGGGACTGCTCGCCCACCAACGACTAAGGGTGGGGTCGTACCGGCTTCACGGTCTTCAGCAGCCGCACGCCAAACTTTTCGATGCTGCGATGGGCTTCGGCGAACTTGACGAACGCCTCACTGGCGGCAGGCTGAGGCTCCCGCACCCCGATCACGGAGAAGACGTCGCCAAACGCTGGACGCACGCGCGCACAGACAAAGGTCCCCAGTGTATCATTAACAGACTGTTGGGGCAAGTGCTGTAAAGCGAGCAGCACCTATGAAGGTCGGCACGGTGCACGAGTTGGTGTCATGGACAGTAACCAACTCATTTCTTTAGAATTGCTTTTGGTGTTTAGTTTGTTTTCCTTCCCCCGCACATTTGATTAGCACAGTTGGTTACGTACGGTGCAAAAGAAGTTCAATTACATACATACATCACGCCCGGCCGCTTTTGTCTCCCCCAACGTTGGTGTTTACACACTGCAGCAAATACTCCACTTAATGTTCAGTCGACCTCAGGGAGGCCCAAGACTGGTTTAGAAATCCATCACGGGTGGTGGCCGTGAGCGGGAATTGAACTTGGGTCGCTGGGTTCGTAGCGCAGTGCACTAACCACTACAAGAACGCCCTCCACATGCACAAAAACACACGTGCAAACACATATTCGCACTTATACGTATACACAGTGAACACACACATACATGCACACTAATACTTATACACAGGAAACACACGTGCAGACTTATACACAGTAATCACATGCACACATACACAGTGTGAACAAAAACAGACCCCCGTATCGCCTTAACAGACTGTTGGGACGAGTGCTGTTAGCGAGCACCTATGAGGGCCGGAACGGCACACGAGGGGGTGGGTGGCCAGCAACCACGCCCAGCCGCCTTTGTCTCCCGAGTGGCGATGTTTACACACCGCACTAGGTACTCATTTGAGGCTGAGTCGACCTAAGGAAGGCCCAGAACCGGCTCAGATAATCGTCACCGGTGTTGGCCGTGAGCGGGAATCGAACTCTGGTCGCTGGGTTAGTAGCGCAGCACACAAACTGCTACACCACTGTGTGAACACACGCACACACACATGCGCTGTTACACAGCTGGAATGCACGCACGTGCTGTCAACTTGGCTTGTAACAATTTACCTCTTCGATGATTGCCCGGTTGCCCGTCTGTCCCTCGGGTTCATTGGTGAGGGGTCACATGAAATAATTTACAAACCACATGGATTCCCTGGAAAGCATCGAATGATTTACGTGCAATTCGATGCATGTATTTTCAGGGCTTAATAATTTATATAGAAATCAACAAACCTTTGCATCGGTACACCGAAAAGCGTCCTGTGACTAAGTGATACTCTCCCGGGTAAATCATCAACGTTTCTTTCTGCTCAAGACGACCAATCGGGCGGTGGTCATATCCTCTGGCTGCCCTGGCCGAGTGATGGAAATTCCACATTTCCCAACATTCCCATTGGTGAGGGCAGTCTCTCTTAGAGAACAACCATCGTCAACATTATCTCACAGTGGCACCCGTTTTATCCACCTAAAAGAGGGAAGGTATGGCAAGTTGGCCAACTGATGTGACTGCTGCTACTGCTATGAATGTCATTTCGCACGGACATCAAAATTTGGTATGCGCACACGCGCTTAAAATGAGACACGCAGACAAAATAAATGTCGCACCACGCTCCCCGAAATCCCGCCGCCCTGACCGTTGAGCTGCGCAAAATGTCACCCCGCTTCACGTCGAATTCCCGCCGATGGCCACGCGCAGCTCTTCCTCCTCCCCTCGCTCTATTTTTAACCACGATCGATTGGCAGCGCCGACGTTCTCTCCACCGGGCTGCGGGGGAACGCCCACGATGATGGCGGTGGGGGCTGGGGGAGGCTTTCACCTCCTACAAAACTGGGCCAAGATAATTGCCTGGGGGGTGGGGGCATTGTCGGGGAGCCTGCAAAGAGGATTTGTGTCAGATTTGGCCCGAGACCAAATCACACTGAATGTGGACGATTTTGTCCGATATTTTTTGCGGATAAGCAGGAATTGAAGATGGTTAGCATATGGATGGGAGACTGCCTGGGAATATCAGGTTTTGTAGACTTGGCGCTGCAAGGTGAGCTGGAGATGGCAATAAAGTTGTGGATTTTTTAATCCATCTGTGTGGAACTTTGAGTGCCACTCCCTTGTATGCACGTGCTTTCTCCGCGTACTCCCGTTATCCTCTGACATGCAGAACACAATCATCGCAATTTAGCAGGAGCCTCCTGAAAGAGTCTAGGCTTTCCCGAGTAAATAATATTGTAGGACTCGCACAACCGCGGACGGATATTGATGACGGGCCCACTTCAAACCAGTATTTGAACTTGCGACCTTCACTGTCTTACAAAGGCAGAAGCCATGTCCACGAGACAATCTTGTCCCTCCAGTTCTGCAGTGGTCATCCTTTAAGGGCACGTTTCATCCTTTTGCTGCCATTTTAACACCAGCTGCACCCACTGGGCACCCTTCCCTTATACCGATATCCTGTCCAAGCCTCTGTAACTGTTCTATCTTTCGGCCTCCCAGTGTAATCCCCAAGCATGTGTACCTCTCTCCACGCTTCGCTGTACACTTTACAACCTTGAAAAAGAGGTGGGGGGGGGGAGGAAACCCATTCGACTCCGCGGCACGGTGCGTCTGGTCACGTCCTCTGCGGCGTGACCGATCGCTCGGCAGATGCCAGCGGCGAGAGCGCAAGTCGGGGCTCGCCAAGATAGCCGCACGTTCCCAAGCTCGTTCAGAATTTATGACAAAATCCGGAGAGACGGATGAACCGCTGAAAGCCGCGCGCGTCGGAGACGACGACGACGACGACGCCTGCGAGTGTTTCATGACCGCCCTTTTAGTTTTTGACAACGGGCGGGATAAAGTGTTTGCGTGCGGATTTCGTTCCTGTGTGGGGGGTTGGAGGACATGGAAGACACCTCGGTGGCGACGTTAGGACTTTGCCACTGACGGCCGTGCGTATTTCACGAGAGATTCTTTCATCGGCTCGGCGGAGGGCGAGCGGCGATCGTGGCGCCGAGCGAGCGGTCACGCTCGTGACGCCCGGCACGTAATAACTCGGTGGAGAGATGGTTAACTGCCTCGCCTGGTATATTTTGGAGTTTGGATGTTCTCCCCGTGGTCGTGTGTATTTTTCTCCAGGTCCTCTGGTTTCTCCCTCCACATTTAGAACCATGCGTTTCAGAGTATTTGGCTGCTATAAACTTCCACGTGATGATAAACCGCTTCGTTCAGCTATTTTTGTGGCCAGGTCATCTCTGAAAAAGAGCTATATAGCTCGGTGGGCCTTACCTGGTATAATAAAAATAGTTTAAGAGTTTAGTTTAGACAAAGTCTTGCTCGCGGCTCTAGCGAGCGGAGGCGGATTGGCCAGGACCGCGTGGACGGGGTAACGGAGCGATGCACCAACCTCCGCCTGGGAGCGGCTCAGAGCCCGGGGATGAGGGCTATCGCGGCTCAAGATGCTTGCGATCCCGATGAGAAGCGGAAACGAACGTTGCCGCGCGTGCTTGTGCGAGTGCGCGCATTCACGTGCACACGTCCGCTCGGCGGCTTGTGACGGACGGGACCTCACGCGACAGCGTTAGGAGGATGAATTTGGAAAAGTAATCGGCCTATTATTACTATAAACATAACGATTCGTTGCTTAAGTGTCGATGATTAAATTCACGATACGTGTATTAATTCGAGCGCACAAAATGATGCTTGTTTACTATGCACGCAACGCTTATAGTTTTGTAACCACGTCACCGAGGCTAAATTACACTGCGCCTTGACATGCAGCGATCTGGTTTGAGTGCAAACAACGCGACTCGATTCCACCATGCCACACCACGGTAATTTCCATACTCGCCACATGTCAAAAATAAATGTATTCACGAATTCAAGCTTGACGATTGCACACCAGCACGCACACACACCATAAAAATTCATCGATCTGTAGCGGAGCGCGCTCTCAATACTTTGTTCATTCCTCCTCTACGTGCCTCAGGCTTGCTGCTGCTGCTTCTGTGGCTCTAGATCGTAGGGTCTATGGGCCAGAGCGGACATTGAGAGAACCTGGTACATGGTAAAAACTTTCCTAATACGTCCGTGAATTCTTTACACGGCCGATAAAAGTGAGTTGTGAAAAAACATTTAAAAAGAAATGAGTATATTTTGTAACAAGTTTTTAATAACTGAAGGGTTTGTAGGGTACTCGGTAGCTACTAAAAACTGGTCATTCGAAATTGTTTTTAAATTAACCAGCACTGCCCACACATCTGTGCAGGACACATATCCGAGGTGGAGACTGGGGGGGTGGGGGTAGGTGGGGAGGCGTGACGCATTAAATCGGCTCAACGCTGCGGGTGACTTCATCATGCAAATGTGTGTGGTGATGTCACGACCGTGCAATTGCCCGCCCGCACTCCAGCCAGCAAAACCTTTTCTTACAAAGCACTGATTTGCCTTGCTTTATGCGGGCTCTGCTTATGCGATTTTGGGTAAACGAAGGACAATGAAAGCAAATAATTCGTTTTTACAAACTGAATCTGAAAGGGCTCTCACCTGTTACATACAGGGACAAAGGAATTAGTAATTTACTTGCCGAGGCTAAAGTGAATCTCACTTGGCTCAAGCACAACGATTCAATGAACTCCGTGTCGGGGGTAAATCTCAAAGGGATCTCACGTGGCTAAATACGAGACAATGGGGCAAAATTAATTGTTGCCAAGGGAATCTCACCCGTACTCTAACCTGGATAAATGAAGGGCAACTGAATCATTTGGCGGGACCCCGGGGTCCCGCAAATATCAGGTCAATAATTATTATTTTTCAGTCCGCTCACTCGTGATTCCGACAGCACCGCGCCGCCCGCCCAGACTCGCGCCAACAAGCGCCAGCAGGCGGCGATCAACACGATGGGCGCCACCCCACCGGCAAAACGCAAGCCCGGGGGGCGTCCGCCGCAGTCGCGCGCGGCGACAACGCCCTCCGGTCAGCCGTCGATCCTCAGCTTCTTTGCCAAGGCGAGCCCGCCCCCCAGGCAGTGAATTTAACGTGTTTGTGTAATTTTTAAACTTTTTACGAAACTTAGTGCTCCGAGTAGCTCTCGACGAGGCCAATCGATTGACACTAGTTTTGTTGTCAGTAAGGCAAGACTCGTGTCGCTACGCGTTTTTTTACACCCCGGGGCAGTGATGGGACCACGGGGTCCCGCCAATTGCTTCAACTGAAGGAAGTGAAGCCGAACTTATTAAGAGACAGCGAATAAACAAAGTGGTTTCACCCGGAACAAAGGGCAAGTGGCGTGCAGTGAATTTCCCCAAGAGAAAATGAATCTCAACGGGGCTCTCGCACCTGGGTTAGAGGGACAACGGAATTATTTGAGCTGCTTTTCTGCCCAGGGAATGTTGGCGACTGTAGAACCCCCCCCCCCGACCCCTCGAGGGGACACGTCCTCTTATTTCTCAGTGGCTGCACTGGCTGAATGTTAGTGCCGCGGGCAGATGAACAAATGGACAGATGCGACAGCATAAACCATACTGAACTATTTAATTTACCAGCGATGTAGCTCTTTTTCAGAAGTGACCTGGCCACGAATGATAGCTCAACGAAGCGGCTTATCACGTGACAATGTATAGCAGTAAAATATAATCGAAATGCACGTGATCACGGGGAGAACATGCAAACTTCAAATATGCAGGTGTTAGGGTCGGGATCGAACCCACGACCACCTGCATACCTCCTCCCGACTGGGGCATATACGAAAAAAAAGTACGCACACGGACATGTACACACAGATGCACACTTCATCACCAATACAAAGATCCCCCGTATAACCTTAACAGGCTGTTGGGGCAAGTTCTGTGTTAGCGAGCAGCAAGGTCACAAATACAAACATATACACACCCATACGAACACACTGAGATGCACACACACATTCGTGCACACTGCCACAAATACAAACACATACACACATGCGCGAAGACGCAGACCGCACATGCGAGCGCGCGCACTGTTGCGTACGCACAAACTCACATTTGTGAGTCTGTGAGAGCTCAAAGAAGGCTTTCAGCAGCCTCTTGGTGTGCTCCATCAGGCCTGCAAACAAAAAAGCCATTCACAATTAAAAAGGGGAACCCGGCCAAATGCCAATGTTCTTTCATAAAGTGTAGCACAAATGGACGTGCGTGCACGCACGATTGTAGGCGCGCACACACACAACGCCTGCACTGATTGATGCGCAATTGTACAAGCGGGACTCTTAATACGTTACAACCAACAGATATTGGGATTTAAATAAACTACCAAAGTATTCAGGCAAACAGGAGCCAATGTTTCGCCCGGCTGGCCTTTTAATAAATCAAGACGAGGGACACAAGATTGGCAGACACGCCGAGTATAGCTAGGTATTTGAGGACAAGTAGGGGCCTGTGTTAGATAAATCAACTTAATGCAGTGCACTATTTGCTTGCAATGCAGAATGAGTGCAGGTGTGTGCAGGTGTGTTCACATCTAGGTGTGTGTGTGTTCACACAACAGAGGTGGTGCTGTGGTTACTGCAAGCCCAGTGACCAGAGTTCAATTCCCACTCACTACTGATAACAGTGACGAATATCTGAACTGGTCGTGGACCTCCCCTAGGTCGATTCAGCCTTACACAAGTACCTGGCACGTTGCGTAAACCTCAGCATCGGGGGCGACAAAGGCGGCCGCACATGGTGCTGCCTACCCACCCCCTCATGTGCCATACTTGCCCTCCATAGGTGCTCGCAAACAGCACTTTCCCTAAGTCTGTTCAAGGCGATATGGGGAGTCATTTTCAGTATTCACTTCGAAGTGTGTGCAGGTGTGTGGCCACTGGAGTGAGCGAGTGATCACGAGTTTATCTGGTGGAGTCAGCAGTAGTGCAGTGGATCTTACACTACCTTAAATGAGCAAATGTACGTCTGTATGTTGAACTGCTTTCGCACCGTACGTACCTAACCGTGTGAATCGGAGGTGCGGGAGGGCAAACTAAACGCAAAAGGCAGTTCTGAAGAAATTCGTTTTCAATCTAAACACGGTGCGTGACATGCAAACATCATAATCCAGGAGACAAAGGCGGCCGGGCATCCGGATGTGGTTCTGACAGCACCACATCCTTATACGCAGTGCCAGCCTTTAATAGGTGCTCGCTAACAACAAATGTGCCCTAAATATACACGTGGGGAATCTTTGTATCTTTTGTGTATTCAATGCACGCTGGATGAGCATATTATCTCACTGCAGGACGCGTAGGGTGTGTGCCAGAGTGCGTTCATTACAGGGTGTGTACAGGTGTGCGTACAGGTGTACGTGCAGGTATTCACACACATGCGCACACCCCAGGGGGTCACAAAGTGCCTTTACCTTTGTAGAGCTCAGCCGTGCGTTCCAGTTCATCCAGTTTTTTAACGAGGCCATCTGTGGACACCATTAATTATCAGGTGAGTGGGGAGATGGAGTGAACGCGAGTGATGTGCGGTGAGAGGTAGACAGGTAATGTGTGCGTGGGTGAGGTGTGGTGACGGAGCAAGGGAGGCAGGGAGCAAGGGAGACAGGTAGCGGTGAGTGCAGGTGCGATGTCGTGAGAGGGAGAGAGAGAAGGGGTCAGCAGGGGACACAGATAATGAGGCGGCACTGCGCCCTCCCCAAAGCGGAATCCACTCCCCGCGTCCCGCAATGCGACGCCGGCACCGTGGATCCCCGTGGTCGCCAGGGATACAGCCACGTGGCACAGACTTACGGTAAGATGGTTCTTGTTAACTCACTACCCCAACCCCCTCCCACCCCCCGCCCCCGTGGCCCAACCCGTCCCGAGCAGCACAAAGCGGCCACTCTTCCAGCGCAGATCCCGGTAGTGTCTCTCTGTTGACCAGCGGCCGCCTTCCTGGCTGCCGGTGAATGCCGCCCGTTTTGGCAAGAGACGCCGGAGGCCGGGCAATTGTCCCGTCACCTACTCGCACGCCTGTTTGCCCACTGACTCCACCCGGGCCGATTCTCGTTGGTACGAGGGACAGACGCAAAGTATGTAAGGAAGCACGGACGAACAACCCTCATTAAAAATATGTAAATCAACCCGAGCGGTTCCCACGTGGGCGCGCGTGCTGGCGAGCGGCGAAGAGACAGCCCGCATGACCTTCCAGCAACTCACGGCCACTCTCGCTACTTCGTTAATTCCCTCCTACGCGCTTCAGGCTTGCCGCTGCTGCCGCTGTTGCTGCTGTAGATCATGAGTCCACGAACCGAAACAGACATTGAGAGAATCTGCTAGATGGAAAAACCCTTCTTATACACTCCTTTACATGGCTAATAAAAGTGAACTGTGATCATCATTCTAAGCGAGTCGGGTTATCCTTATAATTTGAAATGTGGCAGGACATACCTGTCGGTCAGCAATAATAATGCAAGTTGTTGGATCATATACAGTACGCAGATTTACGAAAGTCCCACACACCCGCGAGGTGGACCAGAAGATGGCAGTACACCAAGCCTGTCTGTCTATGCATGTGAAGTGTTTTCTCCTCCCACATGCAAAAACACTCCTCAACAATTCAATGACAAACCCGAATGCAGCATCTTCCTGAAGAAAATGAGTATGGAGACTCAGTGGGGCTTTCCTGGATAAATACAATGAGATCAAAACTATTATTACCGATTTAATTTTATAACATCCTTTTTTCTCTATTGCTTTGTCCTGGCCACCTCACAGCCTAATGTGTAGAGTCTTGCAACACACCGCAAACTCCGTGCGATCCACAAACCCCCACCCTCCAAGTACAAAGGTCCTCCGTATAGCCTAAACAGACATGTGCCTCGCTGACAGCGCAAAACCTTCAACCCTCATGGGCCTCTAATCATCATCCTCCGCCATGATCAATCCACTGCTGGATGAAGGCCTCCCCAAGCTGTCACCATCTCTCGCGGTCACGGAACTGCGCTCTCAGCCGAGTCGGATGAAGGACGCTCGCTCGAGCGTGGAAACGGCCGCTTCACCGTCGCCCCGATTAGCGCAGCGCGCGTCGCTGCGGGGTCACGGGCGCCCATGGTCACACGCGAGGTCACCGCAGCCGCACGGACCCAATTACCCTGGACCCCGCGTGGGAAACCAAATCACCGTGGCGAGGGGCTCCGGCACAAACCGGCAGAAAAACTCTAGCCCGGGCCGAACCCTGCTGCTCCAGGATTTAAGTTCTCACGTCTCTACTGAGGCAGCAGGAGAAGCCGAAAAGTTGCGAGTTCAGATCTTTTTTTCTGGGGTCAACGTAGCACTTGATTATCAGCATTATCATCACCAACAGCTGCAGCAGCATAATCATCCGTCCTTAATAATTGATAGAATTACGTTTGTACGACTTTTTGGGAAGTAGACAGTGGTTGTCTGAAGCAGAGGATGACCCCCCACCATGAGAATGTGGAATTTCCACCAAGATCGCTAACAGAGAAAGGGATTACCCCAGGATCATTTGAGCAGTGAGACGCCCAAGACTTGACTATTGTTAAGAGACATGCGACAGAATTCTAAAAATGGCAACACCTTTTACTTTAACAATGCCACAAAACGTGCAGCAGAGAAGGTAATTTTAACTTCACTGGGAATATAAGGAGGCTCATAATGGCCGTGTCAGGCTGTAAATCCCAGGCTCCACCCAATATGTGGTTCTACCACAGTATCTCATGTGGCCAACTTATGATGGTCTCAGCACATTCACTTACAACCTTTTCACATAAATACACTTGTAATAAATTCGGTTTTCCTATGGGCAAGCAAAGCTCGCTGTGAGAAATGCATACAACCTGTATATTGGAAGACAGAAACATGGTGAACCACTCTTCATGCAGCACGAAAAAGAGCGCTGTGCCCAGTGATGGATAAGAACAATCGAATGAAGAGACTCCTATTGCGTTCGTTCTGCAGGCAACATGTTCCGGTGCTGTTCCCTGACATTGTGCCCCTAAATCGCCAGATGACTCACAGCACTTCTAAAGTTTGTTGTTTTTTGTCTCCTTACAAGACACTGTTAGCATAAGTGCTACTCAACTGTCCACAGTTGATAAAAGAGAGAAAAATAATTCCTCAGTAGCACATTGACAGTGGCTTCCACTTGAAACGTTGTCGGTGGTTTCTTTGTGTTTTGGATAAAATAAAAACATGCAAACCTAGGAGCGTGCTCTTTGTAAGCCAGCCAAGAATTTATAATCCCCAGGCAACCAATTTGCACTTAAGTGGGCTCCATTATAAAACAGCAGGAGGCACACGGGCAATGCCAAAACCCAGCTAACCAGCCCCAAAAATCCCACCCACACAGCTGCATAAACCTACACCTGTAAGACCCATCATCTCACCCTTATAGCCCCATCATCTCACCCTGATGGCCCCATCACCTCACCCTGATAGCCCCATCATCTCACCCTTGTAGCCCCATCATCTCACCTGGTAGCCCCATCATCTCACCCTTGTAGCCCCATCATCTCACCCTGGTAGCCCCATCATCTCACCTGGTAGCCCCATCATCTCACCTTGTATCCCCATCATCTCACCCTTGTAGCCTCATCATCTCACCCTTGTAGCCCCATCATCTCACCCTGGTAGCCCCATCATCTCACCTGGTAGCCCCATCATCTCACCTGGTAGCCCCATCATCTCACCTGGTAGCCCCATCATCTTACCTTGTATACCCATCATCTCACCCTTGTAGCCTCATCATCTCACCCTTGTAGCCCCATCATCTCACCCTGGTAGCCCCATCATCTCACCTGGCAGCCCCATCATCTCACCCTTGTAGCCCCATCATCTCACCCTGGTAGCCCCATCATCTCACCTGGTAGCCCCATCATCTCACCCTTGTAGCCCCATCATCTCACCTGGTAGCCCCATCATCTCACCTGGTAGCCCCATCATCTCACCCTTGTAGCCCCATCATCTCACCCTTGTAGCCCCATCATCTCACCTGGTAGCCCCATCATCTCACCTGGTAGCCCCATTATCTCACCCTTGTAGCCCCATCATCTCACCCTTGTAGCCCCATCATCTCACCCTGGTAGCCCCATCATCTCACCTGGTAGCCCCATCATCTCACCTGGTAGCCCCATCATCTCACCCTTGTAGCCCCATCATCTCACCTGGTAGCCCCATCATCTCACCCTTGTAGCCCCATCATCTCACCCTGGTAGCCTCATCATATCACCCTTGTAGCCCCATCATCTCACCCTTGTAGCCCCATCATCTCACCTTGTAGCCTCATCATCTCACCCTGGTAGCCCCATCATCTCACCCTGGTAGCCTCATCATATCACCCTTGTAGCCCCATCATCTCACCCTTGTAGCCCCATCATCTCACCCTTGTAGCCCCATCATCTCACCCTTGTAGCCCCATCATCTCACCCTGGTAGCCCCATCATCACCCTTGTAGCCCCATCATCTCACCTGGTAGCCCCATCATCTCACCCTTGTAGCCCCATCATCTCACCTGGTAGCCCCATCATCTCACCATTGTAGCCCCATCATCTCACCCTGGTAGCCCCATCATCTCACCCTGGTAGCCCCATCATCTCACCCTGGTAGCCCCATCATCTCACCCTTGTAGCCCCATCATCTCACCCTTGTAGCCAGTCATCTCACCCTTGTAGCCCCATCATCTCACCTGGTAGCCCCATCATCTCACCCTGATAGACCCATCATCTCACCCTGGTAGCCCCATCATCTCACCTGGTAGCCCCATCATCTCACCCTTGTAGCCCCATCATCTCACCTGGTAGCCCCATCATCTCACCTGGTAGCCCCATCATCTCACCCTTGTAGCCCCATCATCTCACCCTTGAAGCCCCATCATCTCACCATGGTATCCCCATCATCTCACCTTGGTAGTCGCATCATGTCACCTTAGTAGCCGCAGCATCTCACCCAGGTAGCTCCATAATCTCCCCCTGGTAGCCCTATCATCTCACCCTCGTAGTCCCATCATCCCACGCTGGTAGCCCCAACATCCTACCTACGAGGCCCCAACATCATGGACATGGACAAAGGAAATTGAACAAAAACTGAAAAATGCAAAGTGTTGAGAGATGCACCCTTGGAATTAGACAAACAGAAAGAGCAACATGTGGATCAGAGAACAACATGTGGCCAACCGACCTGACTGATCTAACAAGTGACCAATTGACCGACCAACAAATTAACTAAGTGGCCGACTCACCAACCCACCGACTGACCGACCATCAGACTGATAGATTGACCGATCAACCGACCGACTTATTGGCTGATGGATTGCCGGTCAACCAACCGACCGATCGATTGTGCAACGGGGAGTGGGGGGGATGCCGCCCTCCTCCTCCCCGTGCAAAACCACCACGGCCACCGGTGCACCGGCACGCGAGGGTGCGGCAACTGCTCGGCACACGGTGGTGTGGCGCCATCGCCGCACCCTGCGCTGTTACCGTTGCACAGGATGGCGCGGCTGAGTCCCAGCGCGTCGGCCGTCGACGAGCTCATGCTCTCCACCAGACGGTGCTTCGCCTTCTTCATCACTGGGAGTGAGGTGGGGGTGGAGGGCACGAGCAGAGAGAACACAATCAGTGGTTGCGACACCAGCTGTGCGCGCGCACAGTCCCTCTGCTGTGTCACCCGCTGCTGGGCGAGGGTCCCCGGCCATGTCGTGCGGGTTGTGGCGGTTAATTAACCAAACGTTGCCACGATGTTTGGTCAGCCGCTGTTGCTAAAGAGCGTGCGACTCACCCACAAAATATCACGGGTTGAAATCCAAGGTGGGCATTGGCTAAGCCCCTTTATCCCTCCGGGGTTTATTAAGAGGAGCACTTTGTGTTGAGTCTGCAGTGGCTGTGCTACAGTAAACTGAGCTCCTGCTGAAAACTCGATGAGGCTTGACAATGGATGCTGCCTCAATGAGTGCTGCCGTCTTGCTCATTGGAGCAGGCAGACACTACGACTTAGTTGTATATTGGTTTAACCCACAGGCTTTAACGACCAATATTATCCACACGAGGTTTTTGGGTTAGATCGCGTAAATGTGTTGTGAAACCCGCCACAACCAGAGTTAAACCCGCCACCACCTGAGTCCTGAGTGGTGTATATTATTAACATGAATAAAACAATAGGTAGGAGCCAGTGGTCAGTGCGAGTTCCTGAGACCCACCAATGTCCATGGTCTTCCCTAGTTTAGGGTCTGCCTGTAGCTTGTTGTAGTACATGGTCACTTCACCCTGCGATACAGACACACACACATCCACAGATTAGTTTAATATACAGCAGGGGGCTGGTGCAAACAACTATTAAGGCTGGCATGGCACACGATCCGCCGATGCGGTGGTTCAAGACAACAACGTGCCCAGGTGACCGTGCTCGTAGTGCGGTGTGCTAACTAATGCGCTACACCTCTCGCTGGCATGCAAAGCGTTCACCTAAGCGGTGGTGATGCCGCCACCTAGTGGGCAACATCAAGCTACATTTCCATGCAGTTACATGCGCAACGCGATCCCCGAGCCCCAACATCACCACAGGTAGAAAAACGTAGCAGTCGCTTTTGTCTCTCGAGAACAAAAAACATATAAATCATATAATTCGATTGGTTACCACTTGATTCACATTTACTGAGCAAAATTAACAAATCCGTCAGACTAAACAGCCACCTCCATCCAGTTGCACCATTATTTTTTTACTCTGGCCAACAGCCTTGGGATCTGGAAAAAGGAAGCAATGGGGAGGTGCGGTAGAATCTATGGTAGTGGCAGGAAACCTGCGGCTCGGGAGCTGCATTGCGTCCCATGGAGCCCCGCGTGGTGGCCTGGTCTAGGTGTGTCTAGGGTGATGTGTGGGGGTCACAATTTGTGCACAAGAACGATGTTCAACTTGTGGCCCACTGAGGTGAAGGCCCCCTGACTCATCTGGGCTGCCCATTACTGATCTAGGGAAATGGACGTGACAAACTCTTGACCGCAGCTTAAACAAAGAAGAGAACCCATTTGACTGTAAATGTCACATCGCAAGACTGCGTGAGAGGCGGTGGTGGCTCAGGGAGGCTTTCATCCAGCAGTGGATTCATCATGACCGATGATAATGCTGATGACGTTCCTGTGCATTTAATAGAAAGACACGAACCTTCACAGCTTGAATCATCTTCGCCACCTCCACCTTAGTCTTGCCCTTCACCGATTTCCCATTCACTCCCACGATCTCGTCGCCCGCCATCAGGGTGCCGTCCTTCGCTGCCGGAGCATTGTCGAACACCTGGTCCGGCACATGGGCGGACAGGTGACAAGACGTGGGACGAGGCATGATCAGAGGCGTGCAACAAGATATATGGACAAAACAGCGGGATAAGACACGATCAGAGACACGGGATGAGACATGGTCAAGTACATGGGGACAAGACATGGTACGAAACACGAGATGAGGCACAGGGATGACGATGCTTGATAACGATGATGCAATGACAATGATTCAACTCATGAAGATGCGTGCAGTGGTGTGTGATTACAAATTCTTGGGAATAAACACTCAACGCATGTCCACTTCTGCAAATGTTTCTTACTGTGGTTGTGCCACCTGATGACGGACGCTTGTGTTGCGCCCAAAACGTCGTGATTTTTTTTATTTGATACCTACGTGACTTTACCGAAAGAACCAAAGAGTATGGATCCCTGCAGTCACGAAAACTTCAAATCTAGACTCAACGCATGGCTTTGACCAGACGACCAAGCACACACGAATTATGAGCGGCTACCAAAACAATACGTCCGATAAAATTGATAATCGACGATTAAGTCGAGCGCTCTAACCACAGCGCCAACCACCCCACCCACCGACACCACGCGCACCAACTTGAGTTTCTGTATTTGGGCACCATTGAAATGAATGTGTGCATGCTGTTATCGCAGAGAGTAAACAGTGAGCTCATCACGCGCGGCGTGGGGGCGAGTTTGTTAACGTGGCTGCCTGAAGCCCCCTCGGGCTCGCACCTGCACCACGTAGAGGCACGGGCACAGCGGCGCGCCGCCGCCGATGCTGATGCCGATCATGTTCTGCGGGTCCTTCTGGATCACGACCTTCCCGGGAATGGTCGGGATGCCCCTGCGTGTGGAGAACAACAACAACAACCCGTAATAATAAGGCTAACTCTGCTGACGGTGATGACGACGACATTTGAACATGCACAGTATTTAAAAAAAAAATCAATCCACTGTTGGATGAGAGCCCTCAACCATACCCTGAGGGTCGTTGCCTTGCGTTTTATTATCACGATGGTCGGTGCGGGTTGGTGAAGTCAAGGGGGTTAATATGTGGGAGCACAGAAGTGAAGTACAACAGTGGATGTTGCTGTACTGTCCTCTGATGCTCAGCAGCCCAGAACACATTTCGTGCATGGTGGTCTCCCATATTAGTAGAGCACTAACGAGGCTCAACCCTGCTTAAGCGTCCGATGTCGAACGCAATCTGTCGCACTCCGGTTGACGAGACCGGATGCTGAGATTCGTAGGGAACAGAGAATCTGGGATCACGACCTTAACGGGACCACTCCCTACTAGAAGGCCTCACGGACCAAAAAGACAACGGCATCAGTCCCAATAGCAACGTTGTGATCCCGCGCTCCGACTGGACATCTGTGAAAGAGCTTTATAGGTCATCGGATTCCAAGGGGGTCCGGTAAATTTTGGACCGGCACCGACAGGGGCACCAAAACAGGCGGCCCTTTAGGGGGACCACGAACCAGATAGCGTGGGGAGCCAGAGACCGGGTGGGGGATGAGGGTCCCCTCCCCGTGCATCCCTCTCGAGCCACTCACAGTTTATCCTCCTCATAGTCGAAGTCCATGTCGGCCGCGGCGCAGCGGCTGCCGCTTCAGCGTCGTGTCGGCCTCAGGTGGTCCGTCAAAAGATTGCCGGCGTCCTGCGTTGAACCCCCCCCCCCCGAGTGAGGTCGGCGTCGAGGTCCCGTCCAGAGTCGGCGGTGCGGAGCTCCGGATTCGGGTCGCGTCCCAACTTCGTGGTCGGACTGGGCCTCGACGTTTTTGTTGTTGTCGTTGTTGTCGTTGTCGTCGCTGTTTCACCTCCGAATGAACTCGGTTCGAGGACGCCGTCAGTTCTCGGTGAGAAAGCGGATCGCGTTCGGCGGCGCCGCCGCTACTCGACCTCGCGCCTGCGTTCTAGGATCCTCTTCTGGTTGTTCGGAACGAAGTCCGACGTTCCGGGCGCGACCTCGGTCACTTCCGCTTCTCTCCACCTGCACCCCGCCGTCGCCGACGACGACGCCGCTCTGACACTCGACCCCTGACCCCGACCCAAAGCCTCTTGCCGCGATTGGTTACTGCTGAGGCGCGCGAAGCATTGTGGGAAAATATTGACACGCCCCCCCTCTGCCCTGCAGCGCCCCCACCCGGCACCACGTGGCGCGGCGGTTTCTGTGAAGCTCCACGTGGCACGGGGCTCAAACTCATTTAGAAAAAAAAACATTCAGAAACGTGCCTTCACATCGGCGGTTCTTATTCACCTTTACCGCAGCCCTTGCACAACTTCGTTTGGTTGTCAATCGTTGCGGAAAAAAATGTAGAATGTTAATAAGCACATAACAAAGTAGATGCACTGACGGGCCCGTGGTTAAAAAAAATAATCTGTAAAGGCTCGCACCCCCAGAAAGGGGCATCTCGCACCCCCGGTGGGTGCGTGTACCCCAGGATAAGTACCACTGATATACTGTATATTATTTAGCTGCGAAGCATTTCCACGTGATAATACACTTTGTTATCATTTGTGCCACGTGATAATACACTTTGTTATCATTTGTGCCCAGGTCACTTCTGAAAAAGAAAGTCAATACCTCAGTGTGCTTTACCTGATGAAAACAAGTTTCGTTTTATTTGCATATTTTTTTAGGTGATTTGTTTACCTTTCCTTATACTTTGTGTTTTTGTATTGTTTATTGTAAAGGTTCTGTCAAAATCAGTTTTCTTGGCTTGAAACGATGCCGTATGTATAACTTCTTTCGCACGGTACGTAGCCAACCGTGCGAATCGGGAGGTGCGGGACATTCTGCGAATGCACTCCTCGAAAGCCGTGTGATCGATGGAATGTGTAAAAGAAAATATTTATTTTGTCAGACAAATATGGAAAGAATACCTCTTCTTTGGTTCTTTCGGTAAAGTCACGTAGAATGAGAATATAATAATAAATTAATAAATGAAAATAACACATTAAAATTCTCACGACGTTTCGGCCACAACACAAGCGTAAAGAATACATTGATATAGTTACTACCTATTGGAGATCAATGGCACCCAATCCCAGACAACTACAGTACATTACATGTAACTCTTACACACACTCCGTCTCTCTGACTTGTTTATGTGTTGTGAAGCCGGGCTATTGTCCGAAACGTCGCCTGTTGCATATATTGTTCCTTTTAAGACGACAGTGTTCACGATTTTTTGTTGTTTTTTGCAACTTAACACGTGTAACAGCCCATATATAAATGTGGCAGCCCACGTGTATGTGGTTACAGCTGGTGTTGTTGGGGGGATGTTTTGTGGTTGGGCTGTAGAGACAGTTGGGTGGGGTGGGGTACAGCTTGTGTGCATCCACGGTCATCTCAGTCAGCCAACCCATGGCAGCTGCTGGGTCTGTCACCTCACATGTGAATGGCGTGGTATTGGTTTGGAAGGGACCGTTGTTGGTTGCCTCGGGGACGGTGTAGAGGAGAGTGGTGATTGTGTTTGGTACCTGGCTAGAGTGGTTCGGTTTGGAGGGGAGATTATAAAGACGTGAAATTGTGAATACAAATAAAATACAGGAATCGTTAATTTAACCTATGTAGATAGCTCAGCCGGAGACTGATAAAATGTAGTTAAAGGGCTACACTTGCTTTGTTTACACAACTTCACATGTACATAGCGACCCAGGTTAGATAGCGTTGCGTTTGGATACATTTATTTAAAGTTATTGTTAAAGTTATACTGCTTTCATTAAACCTCGTCGTTGAAACAGATTGAAGTCTTTATCACGGTCATAATACACGCACAGCCATCAACCCCTGCTACCTGACTACGACAAGGACACTCTTACAGGGTAGTCCAGATGTCTTGTCAACACCCCCCCCCCCCCCAATTCATTGACCCGCAGCAATGTATATCCTTTGCATAATCGTTTTTGTTTTAAATAAACCTTACTTTAAAAATATTCAGTTTTAACAAATGAAATGGAGGTCACAAGACACCTGGACCACCCTGTAAAATATTTCTCTGCAATATATTATTGATGTTTTTGCCTTTTGTTTTTGCTGTGATCACGCACCGCGGATCTCCACCCGGCAAAACGGGACCATCCGTGTAACACATGAAACTCCCTAATACATGGGTGGGACTTCACGAAACCTATAATCAGCAAAGCCTCAATACACAATCAGCCATTGTCCACGCTGTCAACCTCCCCATCAGCTGCAAAGACAAAGATCCCCCATTTAGCCTTTAACAGACTGTAGGGGCAAGTGCTGTTAGCGAGCACCTATGAAGGCCGGAACGGCAAACGAGGGGGTGGGTAGCCAGCAGCACGCCCGGCCGCCTTTGTCTCCCCTAGTGGCAATGTTTACACATCGCACCAGGTACTCATTTGAGGTTGAGTCAACCTAACGGAGGCCCAGGACCGGTTCAGATAATCGTCACTGGTGTTGGCCGTGAGCGGGAATCGAACCCGGGTATGCAGGTTCGTATCGCATGGCGCTAACCGCTGCACCACCGCTCCCCGTCAGCTGCACAACCCACCCACGTGGGCAGGCAGGTGTCGTGTGAATAATAATTAATTTATATTCTTGGTTCTTTCGGTAAAGTCACGTTGAAGGGAAACAATAAAATAATAAAATATATATAAAACAATTAAATTCTCACGACGTTTCGATTGTAACACAAACAGTCATCATCAGGTGTGAAAACCAACGGCAAGAAACATTTGAAAGAAGTGGCGGTTTGTATTTATTTATTTTCAAACGGTGTTTGCATTTATGTTTTTTTAAGCGTTGGCACCACGGATAGCGATTTGACAGTTTGTTAGATGGACGAGTCCATCTATGTTCGGAAAAGAGGAGGGGGGAGACGAAAATTTTTATGTATGCTGTCTGAAAGCCACCGTAAGCGTGAACAATCAATTAAGACCCGAAATGGTTTATCAAATCTTTCCAATGATTGCTAAGCCAGAATCCATCTTTTCGGTTGAAATTGTCTCTGTGTTTGTATATGTGGATAGCCTCATGAACGAATCTCTCATGGTAGCCCAATGGCTTGCAAAGAACCTCTGTTTTGGAGAAGTCAATGTCATGTGAGCCCACTGAATTATAACAGTGATCTGCCACGGCCGAGGTGTTGGTCCTACCGTGTTTTAGGTCTGCTTTGTGTTCACGAATGCGGTTCGAGACATGTCGTTTGCTTTCTATAATGTAACTACTACCATAGAGGCAACTTAGTTTGTAGACACGAGGGTACTGTATGTCCGGAATCACATCTTTTACAGACAGAAACCAGATTACGAATTTTATGTAATGTGTTGAAACGGACCTGGATCTTGTGTTTATTCAAGATTTTGGAGATATTTTTGACCCACACACCAAAAAGCTAGACGTTAACAAAGTCGTAATTAATCGCAGTAAGTTCTATTTCCAATGGTCTGAAATCCGTTTTAGCTAAAGGTCTAAACTTTGCAGTCACACCTAAACACATACCAGTTAATGATATCATTGCCCAAGTAGACGTTGCTCTCAAGGGCCTGGGTCACATCGCTGCAGACGTAGCAAGATCTGAAATCGCTGCAACCCTCAAAAACGCTAAGATGCCAGCTAGCAACCTTAGCAAAGATGAGCGTTTTGAATAATATAAATTAAAAAAGAGGGATGACATTGTAATCCTCTCAGCCGACAAGGGCAATGCTACTGTCATCATGGAGAAAATAGAATATAACAACAAAATTAAAGAATTACTCGACGATGGCAGCTATACAAAAATAAAAAGAGATCCCACCAACAGCCTCGTCACACAAATCAACAAAATAATTTCTGATTCAACCGCATTAATTGATCAAACTGAACAGTTTTTGTTGAAACCTTCTGCTGCCAAGCCACCAAGATTATACGGCTTACTAAAAATACATGAAGTAGATCAGTGGTTCTTAACCTTGTTGGAGGTACCGAACCCCACCAGTTTCATATGCGCATTCACCGAACCCCTCTTTAGTGAAAAATAAAATGTGATTTTTTTCAAATTCAAGACATATATATGTTTTTTACTGGTACACAAAATGAGCCGTGCATGAACATTACCTTGTTCAAAGAATAAAACCAACACAATGCATAAACTCACAACAAATTACATACCTGGAAATCAATGTGACTTCTGCTGTTGCCTTTGAGAGATCAGTTCAGATATGCGTGGCTTCACCTTGGCAAGTGCCACTCTCATGTCATTTTCACAGCAAAGTCTGTTCCTTTTCTTCGTTTTTATGTCCAGCATCCTCGAAAAGGATTGCTCACAAAGATATGTTGTAACAAATGGTATTAAAAAATCCAGGGCTTTCTTAGCAATAACTGGATACTTGTTCATTTGTCGACACCAAAACGTTGAGAGCGTTGTTGTTCTGAAGAGCTGCTGTTGAACCTGGCTCTGCTGAATTTCAATGATTTCGTCGAGGAATTCATCATTGACATCTGCTGTTTCAACAGCAAACGTGAACGGCTGTCTCACCCATGCTGGATATGACTCTCTTGTAGGGAAATATCCGTCGAGAGACTTTGCAAGCTCATCTAAGTGCGTGGCAATTGTTTGCTTCAGTTCCGTGGATACAGAAATATCTCCGATTCCAGACACATCTTCGATCTTACTTGCACAGTCGTCCAGAAGCGGGAAGTTTGCGAAGTTATTGTTCTCTGTTCGTCGTTTCCATAACGGTAGCTTTTTTTGAAAAGCCTTCAGGTGTTCTTCCGCTTCCATGATATTGACTCCACCACCCTGCATCTGCTGATTGAGATGATTGAGAGCTGCGAATATATCAGCCATGTACGCTAAAATGAGAATGAACTCAGGATTTTTGAAGCAATCTGCATGGCAGTGTTGGTGCTCTTGCAAAAACAGGGCTAATTCCACACGCATGGCAAAAACACGATTCAGCACCTGTCCCCGGGATAACCACCGAATATTAGAATGGAGCAGAAGTACCTCAAATTCAGAGCCCATTTCTTTACACAGCTCACTGAAGATGCGGTGCCTCAGAGCACTTTTTCGCACATAGTTCACACATTCCACCACAGTTTTTAATACTTCTGTC